AGAAATTCATTTTTCATATCTTTGGGTACCATGGAACGCTTTTCAACACAATGATAAGAACAAGGCAGAGTACTGCAAGGCAATTCATAGTCCCTCACCAGTAATGATTTATATATTCAACAAACAGTACACCTATATCAGGAAGCATAGGTCACAGTGAGGATAAAGTGACCTACTTCTTGCATTCTGTCTTCCCAAAATGTCCTTGTACACCAAATATGGTAACTCCAGGTGAAATAATACAGAAGTTTCTCAAATGATAAGTTAAAATGTCAAGTCATAGGTCACAGTGACCTAATTCTTGTACATTGCACCCCGCCATCCCAAGACAGAGAGACGGACGGAGTGCAAACCTATAGTCCTACCCGGGAACCGGTTTGGGACTAAAACTCATATCATTGTGCACCATGGTTGTCAAACCTTTGATTTTGTATGTTTCTGTACCAACACAGCGGCCGACAAGAGCCATGGTACAGAAACATATCAAACCGTCGCCTCTGAAATGTTATCCAGTGTGACAAATTATCGTCTGATAAGGCTGTCACGTACACGGAGTTTATGTCTCGTGAAAGGTGTCCAATTCTCATTACACCAAGCATCAGTGACAATTATGATAGGTAAATCAATTGATATAAGCTATTTAATTCATAGCATTAAAAAAATTGTGGTGCGCTTCTACAACAAAATGGGAAATAATTTCAATCGATATTATCCAATACTTGTACATGCTTGTGCCTTCACTCGCCAAATAAGAAAAGTGTGAATAACTCAAAACTCAGATGGGCTCGATGTAGGGACTAATTGATTTATTCAATTGGTAATGAAGTGTAAAAAAGACCATTATATTTTCTATGCTATTTTGCATTCTATTTTTGATTATAAACGGTTATTTTATGAGCATACAATCGATAGCAAGATGATATACAGAAGAAATATCGAAAACAAACGAACTTCGTTTTATCCTCTATTAGAAACCATATTAAGGCCCCAGCATATTCAAAAGTGTAGCAAACTCTGCCTTTCCTCAAAAGTGATAAATGCAAGCCGATTACTGTTTCAGCATTGTGATCAGGTATTTTATTACCGAGGGTCATTTCTGGTCACGGTGTCAGATAGCGCCATTCGAATGCTTTCATATCTTTCTGTTCCATCCATTCAGTACCATTTTTAATGGCACATAATATGACAGCAACGAGCTTTAGTATCTTTGTGTATCATACTGCAATGGAATTAAACAATGAGCTTTCATATCATTCTTCCGGCTGTTGTCGGCTGTGAGAACAGATTTATGTGTAATTATATGTGATTTTTTAAATTTCGTTTATGATCTTTATATACTACACATGGTACACAAAGAATGTTTTTTTCATTTTTTTTGTGTAACGTGGTATACTTTATGTGATGCACGAAGAAATTATTTTTCATATCTTTTAGTACCACGGTACACTTTTATGTGGTACACATTGATATGAAAAATCAATTCATTTTGTTCGGCTCTTGCCGGCCATCGTATAAACACAGCGTTACGCCTGATCCCACGATAGCGTCCTACTTAGTTACCTTCGACCCATTTCTTCCCCTTCTATACAAACAATTAAAAAATGTCTCCCATTCCACAACCATATCGTGCAACTTCCTTACGATATACACACACTACCTTTTGTTTGATCTTTTCTCTTCAAAATCCCGTAAGTTTGACAAGTTTATGAATTCTTATTAAAATCAGACATGCGTCACTTGTTCTACAAATTTGTCAACAACAACAACAACAAAAAACTATCATACGAGCTAAATTGTACTGGAGATATCTGACACACTGTTACATAGTGGTGCATTCTACAGTGTTCGTGGTACATAAAGCTATGAATTTGTGTATATCTGCACCTCTGGATGGATAGATTTACACGCCTTTGTGGCGGATCTTTACAACCCCACTATGGCTAAAGGCCATATATGAGGTTAAGCTGTGCCTCTCTTCTGTCCAGTTTGACTTTGATTTTGAAGAGCTTAACAGAACAGGTAACATAAACCTTTCAATTCATTCTCAACTGTATTGACGATATGCCGTCTTTAAAACAAAATTTTAAAAAACATCAATAATATGGGCAAGTTTTATGGTTGTCATCGTGGTCACATTGGGAACGATTCTTTTTCCTTACGCGATATAAACATTGACTTGTTAATTTTACTCAAACGTTTTCCTGCTGGTTTAGATTTTACTTCCTCAGTTCTCCTTTTCAGAACGTGACATCACTTGAATTTGGCCAAGATGAAGCAACCGACGCCTACCCTTTCGTAATATATTTTATTAATATGAGCCTGAATCGCTCACCTGGTATTAATCTCACACGTGTAATCTTAAAAGCGGGCTAAAATAAACCTACAGGCAGAATATCAGTGTTTGATTCATAAAAACCTATTAAAAGATTTAAACATATGACGGCCGTGACCTTGAATGTCGAACAAGGACATTAGGTTGAACAGAGTTTATAGTCTTCCAACCTAGCATGTTTCTAGGTAAATATCATTACCCTGGACCTTTTGATTATACAGAACAAATCATTTAAAGATTAAATATCATCAACCTTGGCCTTTTGCTTATTAAAAAGAAGTCATTCAAAGGTTTTAAACATATTTGACCCCTGTGACCTTGAAAGTAGATGAAGGTCATTCATTTGAACAAACTTGGTAGCCCCTTCATCCCAGCATGCTATTGGCCAAATACATCATCCTAGGCTTTTTGGTTACAGAGGAGAAGTTCTTTAAAGTAAAAGGTTGACGCCGGCCAGACGGACGGACGACGGACGCCGCACCATGGCATAAGCTCACTTGCTCTTCGGGCAGGTGAGATAATAAATCACACACCGATACAATACACAGCATAACAACGCAAGATGTAGTTTAACATTCAAATGGTTTATTTTTCTGATATATTTAAATAAGAGTTTCTTCAACGGTATTCTGAAATAAGTAATGGTTCAACAAATAAATCTTCTATTTGACATACATATCAGGATGCTTACCACTTTATACAAACTTATGTCATTAAATTGCCTCTTAAGGATCCTGATACTACTGGACCAAACTGTAACCACGTATTTGAAAATATTCTCTCCGACATCACTTTAGTCATACCCTGCCGAGTTTTATTTGTATGAAAAATAATAAAAATGAAATAAACAAAATAAAATTAGCAACGGGTATCTGATTAAAAACAGTTCAGTGGGTTTTTTACCGGAATTTGAACCACAGATTTCAGATGGCTGTACATGTACTATAGTTCTACTGATCTACCTGGTCTACGGAAGTGGCCTTAGTAAAACTGTGCTAAAGTATAGCCAACACAAAATGACGAGGAGGTTACCGCGTATACGAAAAACCATAGTGCAGTGGGACAGGGATCCTTAAAATCCAGTTCCATTGAGATGTCACTCCATTTACATCTTCAGACATTCCTATGCTGCATCAGACATCACGTGTCCTACAATTAAGTGCACCAGTACATCGCATGACTCTACACTTAATTGTATCACTCCCATCATATGCCTGCGGGACACCTGCATTTGAACAACCGTTTATATCATGTCACATGTACGTTACCCTTATTCACATCCCATTTATCGCATGTATATGTCCCTTATAATCAACTTTCAGAATAACCTTTTGCTAAAAAGTAAATATATGATAACAGGATTATAATATGTGCACTGTATTGAAATCAAATCGGTACAGCATTCGACAATCGGGAAATAAAAACCTTAAAGCAAGAAACACTAATATATGGAAGTCACAACGTTGGCATGTACACATAAACAAGTGTACTCTAACTTGTATAAAAAAAAAATGTCTATGCAATGATGGAAACAATTTTGTTTATAAATCAATCATTTCATGACTTGGTGCTAATACTGTAAAATTGTTTGTTTTGGCTGCTATTGAAAAGGACGACACACTCACACACATAAATATATACTTAGTTTCTAATTTAAAACTGCTGTTATAACTCTGTTTTGTTTCATTGAAACGATTTGCAATGTTCTATATCTCGAGTAAAACTAACTATTATTTCTGCGTCTGAACACACGTCCAATCACTTCCACATCCTTGTTGAGATTATTCAAGAATTGATAAATTTTGAATTATTTCATCGTTTCATTACTGTTGGAGATGTTAAAATACCTTCAAACGCTGCATTTAGACATGCATCTACAATTTATCAAGACGACCATTCACAAATAGAACAAGAGGCCCAATGGGCCTGAATCGCTCACCTGGTATTACTCTCATACTTAAAAGCCGACTAAAATACACCTACAGGCAGAATATCAGTGTTTGATTCATAAAAACCTATTAAAAGATTTAAACATATGACGCCCGTGACCTTGAATGTCGAACAAGGACATTAGGTTGAACAGGGTTTATAGTCTTCCAACCTAGCATGTTTGTAGCAAAATATCATTACCATGGACCTTTTGTTTATACAGAACAAATCATTTAAAGATTAAATATCATCAACCTTGGCCTTTTGCTTATTAAGAAGAAGTCATTCAAATGTTTTAAACATATTTGACCCTGTGACCTTGACTATATGTCAAGGTGATTCATTTGAACAAACTTGGTAGCCCCTTCATCCCAGCATGTTACTGGCCGAGTATCACCACCCTAGGCCTCTAAGTTGTTCAGAAGTTGTTTAAAGATTTTAAACATATTTGACCCCTGTGATCTTGAATATAAGTCAAGGTCATTTATTTGAACAAACTTGGTAGCCCGTCATTCCAGTATGTTACTGGCCGAATATCACCACCCTAGGCTTCTTGATTGTTCAGAAGTTGTTTAAAGATTTTAACATATTTGACCTCTGTGACCTTGAAAATAGATGAAGGTCATTTATTTAAATAAACTTGGTAGCCCTTCATTCAAGCATGTTACTGGCCAAATATCATCACCATATGCCTTTTGGTTACTGGGAATATTATGTTTAAAGTAAAAAGTTAACGCCAGACGGACGACGGACGCCGCACCATGCCATAAGCTCACTTGGCCCTTCGGGCCAGGTGAGCTAAAAATCAGCCGTTGCTTGTGACACAATATCTCTTGATTACTATAATATTTTTATATCATATTATTTCTTTAGGAAAACATTACCTAGCGCCTTTGGAACATTTTAATCGCATACGATATTCTTTTATCATTTATATACATATAGGGCATTTAAGCTGGCATTTTGTCATGCGTAATGATGTAAATCGATTACACTCGTTCACTGTTGTTTGATCTCTCCTAATTAATGGTGGTCTCGTGTCTATTTTGTTAAACCTTGTGTTCCTGTGTGCAGTCGCTGTTTCGCTACTTTCCAAAAACACCATTTGCTTTGATCTTTACATATTCAAATCATACACACAACTGAATTCTGTATTTGGAGAGTATATTGCTCAAACGTTCCAAGTGCAAATTGAATTTTCCAAAATACAGAATATGTTAACAGAAGTATCCTCTGCTACAGCACTGACCTTTAGTCTTTCAAAATATTGTCGCCCTCTTAATTTTTCCTCTCACTTGATGATATTTTATCGATTGACTCATGTCCAGTCAGCAATCAGCATTTCTTATGTTTGATAATTTACTGGAAAGCTTCCAAATCATCAGCTTCCTGTTAAAATCCCCTCTAAATCAGGATCGAAAGGGGTTTAAATAAAAAGGGATAATCTCTCCAATTTTCCAATGTACGCAAACTGCACAGCCAGTCATAAGAAGAACATGATGGTCATTCAAGTTCAAGGACACGCTGACCGTATGGCTTCAACCGTAAGTGGGGCGTCCAGCCTTATTACCGAAGGTAAGCCAGCGTCTGACCTAGCGGCTTGGATGGCATCTCTCAGTGCAAGATATACCGAAATGGATAGTATCATTGGTGGTTCTCCAATTCCCTGCGGATAATAAATCGCTGTCAGCAGTTCATTTGTTCATGATATATTTATAATGGATAAATAATGAGATGATGTAGATGATCAAATGAAACACAACTTTCACTAGCTTGTCTTCACGTCATAGTGATCACCATGTACCCTTACTTTACATACATTTAATAACTCAGAGGTGTTCCTAGTTAGATTCACAAATGAGACAAGGCGAGTTAGATGACGTTCCAGTTTGATTACAGATAGTACTGTATCACATAATGTACTGTGCTATCCAGTGAACATACCCATGTCATATATTTTTGCGTATTAACCCATGTAATATGACCTATCAGTCCTGTGATTGGTTGTAAGTTTCAATTGTTTCAATTGTGACGTCACGTCTAGGACAAGTACATGACGACATAGACTTACTCACTGGAGTCTAAATGGCGGCTTTTTACATTTCAAGGTTGCATGAAAATTGTCGTTTTACACGAATAAATGCCACAAATCTTGGTTATGTGATAAAATGGATCTTACACTCTTTTTAATTTAATATGAATTTTATGAAACTCGTCACGAATTTTTCATTTTATAGATCCTTTATGTATGCTTTCTGATATACATAATATACATAATATACATCTGATAACATGTTTGAATGACATAGAATTCAGTTATATGATCATATTAATTAAAACTGAAAATAAACTTGAGACCATAATACTATCGAGTGTTTGTGCACGTGTTTACACTATCAATGTTTCCTTCTCTAATCCTTTATAACGGTTTAGATAGTGTTCCATGTTTGGATGGGGTAGAGCCATATTGAACAGTTGAAATTGTTCAAAAATCCAGCTGTTACATAAGTCGTGTTTTTTTAATATATCTATTAGTTCTTTAAATAAACCACTTCTTATCCAATGCCAATTATATTGAGTAGCAATTGTACAAACTATAAATACTGAATGATGTCATCAACAGTTTTTTTGTCATCATCCTTTTATCATGTTGACAAATTATCAAAGTCTTTGTGTCATCATGTATAACATAGTATTTTAATATGTCATAGATATTATAAATATTTGCATGTTAATTGTAAATCATGAATTAAACTTTTTAGAAAACCATTAACTGTTTATTTCCATATTGGATATTTTTTATTCGATCAGATTTAATGCCAGGTAGATAGCAGAAATATAAGTTTTCAAAATATTGTTTTTATGCTTCAGTTTATATCTATCATTGATAATAATACAACGCATAAAGGAAAATATGTCGTTGAATACTAACCTTAGACGAATATACTGCTCGTTCGTTAGGACAATCCTTTAAGAGCGACACTCTGAACTCTCTTGGGATATCTTTGACATTTGGAATCTTGTAATCAACTGGTCCAGAAATGTTGTATCGACCGTTGGCTTCCACGTGTATTTCCTCCATAGTGAGCCCGCCGTATCCCTATCAACCATCACACATTTATTTGTCAAGATATATAACAAAATTAAATGCGTTATATATGTAAACCAAACCCTTATACCTGATTTGTAATGATAACCAATGAAGGGAATATAAAATTGATATGATGTGCTCATATGCTTTCTAGTACAGACGACATGCTGTGACGCAGTTTTTAGACGACTGATTGTCATAGCCAATTGTCATATCACAGAGCGGTACCGTAGTCTGGACGAAAAGGAACCAGTGAAGCAACAATGGCTAACCTGCATCATTTCTGATGTACTGCCTAATACTTTCATTATTTGATTTCGAATTTTGTTGTGACAGGATTTGCGATGACATTCACTTATTATTGACTTCCCATCGAATTAACAAATTAACTCCCAGATTTTCATAATTTGAACTGCATGTATTGATTCAGATCGAGCATTCAGATGAAGGTCATCATGTACAATTTGATTATTTTAATAATCATAAATTGTCATTTGTCAATAGACAGCAGCTTGACTTGCACTTGAGTTTAAACATCTCTGATTAAATTACATTTTAAAACACGTGATTATAGTGACTGTAGTAAGCACTTTGTAACCTACCTGTACAAAAGCGCCTTCTATCTGACCTATATCTATACCAGGGTTGAGACTTTTGCCGACGTCCATCACAATATCAGTACTCAACACCTGAAGGCATAAAGCAGAACCACCAAGAAATCATTTTTCATATATCGTTAAAAGAAGTTGTATTATTCTACATCATTACTAGGAATACAAAGTAGCGAATCTTTGATTTTGAAATTTTTAAAGTCGACGCATAAAGTAAAAAATAAAAATATTTTGCCGCACCATGTATTTGTTTTTAGAGGGGTATAACGTAATCAGAATACCTGGTGTTCTCCTGTCAAACAATCGATCTCCACCACACTACAGGCTGCACCAAACGTAAAGTAGTGATAAGGGTCGCCTTCTCCCTTCTCAAAGTCCCAATGATGGGTTCCGATTCTGTCGATTCAAATCAATATATCCATGCCGAAATATATCGTCCGCTGTACTTATTGATACATATTGATAAGATAATGTTGGTTAACAGTACTAAAGCGTATAACACAACAGTTATGGAATTCTGTGACTTTTCGGTTAATATCAATTTTCAGGCTCAAATCACATCATATTCACCATCACAAAAGTTCAAGATTGTACAATATTAAGCATTAATTTTTCTGACGTCGTCAATGTATCCCGTTGAATTAGATAATGTGGTATTGTTAACTGTTTACTTCCAAGATTATAATATCATTGTTTATGTTTCCATTTTGATGTATTGTTGACTTACCTATAGTAGTAGTAGCCAGTAGCTGACAGACTGATTCCATTTTGATGTAACGTTGACTTACCTACAGTAGCCAGTAGCTGACAGACTAATTCGTTCAAGAAAAGCTTGTTGAACCTGCACGATGAGAAATAAGAAGGACATAACACAAAAAAATACACATAATACTTCAGATTTATATTTTACGAGTCTCGGACTGACATGTTTGACAAGCCATCTTTGCGACCACGCTTCACTTTAGAGGTTGTTACTGAAGGTCAGAAAACACGTAAAACATGGAGCTTAATGCTGCGATTTCATAAACAGGTACATATGTAAATGGTCCACCCGGGAAAACGTGTTTCTAATACAAATTTGAATAATTTCTTCTGATATAATTGATACAACTCATACCAAGTCTATCCAAGTTAGTTGTGGTTTTCCCTCTTGGATTGGCGCCAGTCTTTCCCTGATCGTTCTGCATGCATTCTGTTAAGATAATATAAAAGACGTCAGGCACCATTTATCATGCTAATCCCTTTTCACCTGTTTACTCAGTGTTACAATCACAACCCGTCGAGGGTCAAAACCGGCGCAATTCCAATATAGCCATGCGGACCTCTGGACTCCTTCCTATACATGCATATGTGTGTTCTTTTTAAATATTCTAATACTGATACAGATTTATTGAAATTGTCTGTCAAAACTATATTTTTCGTTACTATATGCCTGAACTACTTTTAAAACAGCCAGACTTACCAGTACGGCCTCTCCGTAGATGTCAGAGCTAAAGCTTGCTGCTGACGGTATGGAATTAGGAATTATATTGGTCCCCGTGCCACTAATGTGCACGTTGTCCATAGGAACACCAAGTGCTCTTGAAGCAACCTAAAGTAGATTGTGATTATAACCATTATATATATGAATCACAGAACGATCAAACTAGACAACGACTATTTCAGTACATGTAACAAAACAACAAAAAATACCGAAATGTTAAGAAAACATTATTCGAACAAAGAAAGATTACATTGTCATTGAGACCCGTAAAAAAGAACGAGACGAATAAGATAAGCTATCCTACATTGTATGAAATATCATACACACGTAACTTTCAATAAAATAGTCAATGTGGCAGACAGTATTTATAATATATAAAACTGTTTTTTTATGGCAGTTGTTTCTTTGAAATTTTTAAGGTATATTTGCGAATTCTACACGACTGCAAACATTGAAGTAGCTTAGAGTAAACCTACTTGTATCATCTTGGTGTGAAGTCCCTGACCCATCTCTATCCCTCCGTGTGATATCAACACTGATCCATCCAAATAAATGTTGACGAGGGCGCTTCCCTAGCAATCATAGACATGAACAAAAACTATCATAGTAAAAACATAGGAAATACACTAACAAACCACTATCTTGAAACATTTCATTTATTTTGTAAAGATATCTCGAACGTTTTTCCTGCCTGAACAAGTCTTTAAACAAAAACGGCTATTTTACAACTCGTTTTCATTAAAGTGTTAGTCAATCAGATCTTATGGTGTCCAAAAGTATGGAAAAAAATATATTACATGAGGAAAAGTCTCGAGCAATCAGTTGGTTTGAACGGTGGCCATCTTGGATTTCACATCCAGTTTGCATTGACTTATTAACCTTGGATTACAAATTGCCTTCAGATAAAAGACTGAAAAGTCAGGAAGGGTAATATTTTGATCGAGTTTTTATTAATTGCAAAGTAACAGAGAAATAATCAAGAAAATATTATGAACAGCAGTAGACATCCCTCAACCATAACTAGTGGCTACAGCTCATGTATATGACTTGTGTCTTGTGACTTTCAATTACTTACCCCCATCCCCACCCCCTACTGCAACTCTACCCGATATGCCCCCGTCACATAACCCCCTTAATCACATAAAGTAAAAAATAGTAATGGTGTACCTGATTTTCAGCTCGATTGGGGTATGAAACAGAGCATTTGCATGGCAACAATGCAAGTCCTCTCTTTCTCAATTGATGTAATCTGAAATAAATGTTAAGTGAGATATTTGATATTCAATTTTTAAATATGGTATATTTATATATTAAATTGTATAATAGAACCATGAAATAAGATCTAACCTCAAGCAAATATTATGAGTTGGTATCCAATTCAAATGAAGTATCTGGAATAGGAATCTCGGGCAGTGTACAGGAAGTTAGTGAATTAGATGTGAGCGAAATCGGGCAAATGTATGTTTCTGTGTAATGCAATACATTGTACCTACTTGTTAAACTGACTGACTTCCTCTTTATTCTGAACGAAGTTACTCTGACTTTTGCACTCATTCCAACATTTCTCAAGATTACAATTCGTCAGTACCTTGCGGTAATGTGTGCAGTCTCCCTCCTTGTACAAATTCGTGAATCTGATCTTTAAACCAACAACAAATATTACTAATACATTAAATCGGACATTTGCTCATGTTAAATATAAATAAATACGAACCGTGTTTTTTTTTTATAAATATGAATGGCATAGTTTTGGTTCCCCACATAAAAATGCAACCGCAAGCATTAATGTATTATCCAAGCAACCTTGGGAAGTCATTGAAACACGAGTGGTATTAAGTTGATTAAATATACCAATCACTGGTTACAACAATTGACATGTTAACTTTTAAGACAGCACATTTTTTTTTTTACCGATACATCGATTGTTTTTTCTGCTTAAACCTCAATGAATAGTAATTTTTAATAACAGACAAATACAAAAAGCACCCATCCCATTGGCCTTTAGACGACTTCTTTTAAACAATTTTCATAAATATATGAAAAATGATATTAATAGATTTTGTTTTGTTATAGAAATAGTCATTTAAAATGCTGATGATGATCGTATCTACGATGTGTTACCTGTTCCGGTGCCAGTGTAAATGCCTGCGCCAAATCGGCTATGATTGACTCGATTATGAATGCCCCCTCTGGTGCCCCGAAACCTCGGAAAGTCGTGTTTGATGCAGTGTTGGTCCTGCAAAGACTGCCCTCCACTCTGTAGTTAGGAATTCTGTAACTGCCATCCACGTGGAACATAGTTTTGTTCAAGAACTGTCAGCAGCACACAAAACAAACAGGTCATGTGTATTCTAATAATGAGGGTAGATTAAATGAACATCAATATATGATTTTTATGTTACAACTCGGTGGATTACCACTTGTTCGAAAGACAATTATCGTTTTGTCCTCTTTTCACTAAACTCGATGACCCGTTTTCAATGGCAAACTGGCTAAATGATAAAATGCTCTATTTTAAATGTAGGTAATAAGTTGCGGTCGTGGTAATCTGCTTAAATTGTTGAGTTTTTATTTATTTTAAAATCAGAAAACAATCTTAACATGTTTAAATCTACTTATAAATTATGAATATGACCCAGTGTATTGCAAATAACAGACTACTTGCAAGCTTTCCAAGGAAGACCTGGTACTGTCGATTCAATGTTGCAAATTGTAAAAAATGCATATGAATTTAAAATGTCATATTTTAATAAAGATAAACCAGAAAATGCAGCAAAGCTGCTGGACACCTGATCTTTTGATGATAATTACTTACTTACAGTCTAAAAATCACGAACCAGCACACTTGAATTTATTCTTCGAATATCAATGACATTACTGTTATCGTTCAGGATATTCTGTTCACGATCCATATCCACACATAACGCACAAGTGTCACTCTATAATTGTTTCAAGACACGAACATGTACATTTTGACTGCATGTTAAAATGTCAACAATGTGGTACATGTCATAACGTAATCTTCTGAGGGAGAGGATACAGTACACGATATACATGTACATAAAATCCATTTAAATCTGGTTCGATTTTCATAAATATTGCCTTTGACAATGCACGTTTAGATAAAATAACAACTGTCTGAAGTAAAGAGTCAAACGTTTCCTCTTTAATTGAATAATATATAAAAGGTTAATATCTGAATGAGGATACTGTTCAACAGGAATACCATGAAATTTTCTTTTTAATATAATTTTTAAAGTAACGGGACGCAAATATTGCTCCATCTGAAAAGCGCGGGAATTTATAGCGTATTATTTGACGCCAGGTTTAAATTGAAAACGATTGAGAGCTCCATTGTGAATGTGGATCTCAATGCGACTTTACCATTTGCTTCTATTATCTAGTAAGATTTCTAAACAAAAATGGTAGCAATGGAGTGGCTACATAAATACTATAATGTATGTTGCAAAAATGAAATAAGACAACAAATTATTTTGCCGTCACTTCATCTGAAACAAAGTCTTCGCAGTGAGGAGAAAGTACCGTTCTGATTGGACAACTTAGTGATATCTTCGCTTCTTCCTTTGAACACTTCGTATATTTTGACTTTAGTGAAGATAAAAGACCGTATCAAAGAGAGAAATCATGATATTTCATTGGTAAAATATAATAAATATTGTGCGATTACTGTAGTGGTTTTCTAATATATTTTTGTAGATAAGATGCGGCCTCAAGTTCCCAGGAGGCTTTCACGCATGTGGAAGCACCGGAGGAGAACCAAGGTTTAACAGATCAATCCAATGCGAAGCTTCACGTAGCTTAAGGGTTTGAAAAAATGGGAGGTTACTTCAGAGAACAGTCAGGACATACACAAGGTAAGCTGAATAGGCTGGGATGTTATTAATAACAACAATCAGGACATAAACAAGGTAAGCTGGAATAAGCTGGGATGTTATTACTTACAACAGTCAGGACATAAACAAGGTAAGCTGGGGAATAAGCTGGGCGGTTATTACTTACAACAGTCAAGACATAAACAAGGTAAGCTGGAATAAGCTGGGCTGTTATTACTTACAACAGTCAGGACATAAACAAGGTAAGCTGGAATAAGCTGGGATGTTATTACTTACAACAGTCAGGACATAAACAAGGTTAGCTGGAATAAGCTGGGCTGTTATTACTGATAACATCCAGGAATTCAATTCGGCATAGTGTTTGGTAGTACACATCTGTGTTATAACCAATACGTTATAAATAGGTATACACATATATTACCCAAGTTGAACAATCAAGGGAATATCCAGCATCAACGAAAATCTTGAGTTTGACCGCAATCAGCTGACCATTTTTATTGATTCCAGCCTGTAAAGTAAAATGTTTCAAAGATTAAGGACAAAGGTTTGAACTGGCGTAATACAACGAATGTTTATCAAACCAGTCAGCACTAGTCCTACTGTCTCACTATCACGTCACCACTAAACCTACTGTCTCATTAGATAGTAGTCTCCACTAATCCTACTGTCTCACTATATGGTCTCCACTAAACCTACTGTCACCACTAATCCTTCTGTCTCACTATATAGTCACCACTAATCCTACTCTCTCACTATATAGTCACCACTAATCCTACTGTCTCACTATCACGTCACCACTAAACCTACTGTCTCATTAGATAGTAGTCTCCACTAATCCTACTGTCTCACTATATGGTCTCCACTAAACCTACTGTCACCACTAATCCTTCTGTCTCACTATATAGTCACCACTAATCCTACTCTCTCACTATCAAGTCACCACTAATCCTACTGTCTCACTATATAGTCACCACTAATCCTACTGTCTCACTATTCTCCTGGAATTAATATCGACTACGAGCAAGAGTACATTGAAAAATATTGCCGCTTTCATTTTTAAAGCGAATGAGATACGGAACATTAACTTATTTAATCAGGAGTAACGTCCGCCCTGATGTCGTTAAACCTGCATTTAAGTATGGAAAGTCACTGTTTTACTTTATAATATATTTATGTAATTTAATGCATTGTACCACTACATATATCCTTGTATATGCAATGTATTTATGGCACAAAGACATTTGTGTCTATTGCTGAATAAAGATTATCATAAACTATATAGTCGCCACTAATCCCACTGTGTCACTATATAGTCATCACAAACCTTCTGTCTCATTTTATAGTATCCACTAATCCTACTGTCTCACTATATAGTCTCCACTAAACCTACTGTCTCACTATGAAGTCACCACTAATCCTACTGTCTCACTATTTTGTCACCTCTAAACCTAATATCTCACTATCTTGTCACCTCTAATCCTACTGGCTCACTATCTAGTCTCCACTAATCCTACTGTCTCACTATCACGTCACCACTAATCATTCTGTCTCACTATATAGTCTCCATTAATCCTACTGTCTCACTATTTTGTCACCTCTAAACCTAATATCTCACTATCTTGTCACCGCTAATCCTACTGGCTCACTATCTAGTCTCCACTAATCCTACTATCTCACTATCTAGTCTCCACTAATCCTACTATCTCACTATCTTGTCACCGCTAATCCTACTGTCTCATTCTCAAGTCACCACTAATCCTACATTCTCACTATCTAGTCTCTACTTAATGATAATTAATAATAATGATAATTGACCTGTTTTCATGCTAACTACGCAGTGTGTTGGAATTGTTACTTTCTTATATTCAATCGTTTCCTAGTAATACCCCAACATCATCCCATCCTCACCCTAATCCACTTTATTGAATAAAAATATTTTATTCAAAATGCATTTTTTTGACATTCCGCTGAACACAGTGATCCCAGACACGTAGTCAGATGTAAGTTAGGAAATCACTGTATAACTTACTTTGTACTCGGTAAGGAATGGATGACGTTTTCCCGAAATCTTGAAATCCATTGATCTATCTAATACACATCGAGCAGGTCGCTTTGTTCTGTTTTAAATGTATCAAAAATTCATTTGTAGTAAATATTCAATGTTGTAATGACTATTTCCCGATTTGTTTCATTTATTTTTCAAACCATCAGCTTCCATCGATATTTTTTAGGCAAATATTGTCAGATTTAATTTGATTAGCTATTGCGCGCCGCTGTCAGCCTATCAAAAATAAGCAGTTCTCGACAACAACAAGGACGGTGGTTTGACAGTCATTGAGGCAACCTAAACGCCTCATCTATTTCTAAATTGGTAACGTATGGGAAATTGGAAATACATTTTTCTGATGCGGTACATACATGTAGTATGAAACGGTGAGTTGCTATATCTGCTGAACTTTAATATAGAGTAAATCACCTTAGCATAAAAACACAACGTCACAGTTCAAGGAAAACAGTCTTAGGACTGATCCGCATTCCGACACCAAAATAGTCAAGGTGATGAGTGTAATTACAGCGATAGGTATAGTCGTGATTGTAAACAGTAAACCGCCGTTCGCCCTCTTTTTTGTACACATATTTTTTGTCATACGAAAAAGTATTTTTTATTTTTTTTATTTCTCTCTGGCTTATATTTAACTTTAGTACAATCAGCGAGGAAAAGTTTTGATCGAATTTCTTACTGTATCCTTCAGTGTACAAGTTTGTTGTCCTAAATGATGTAAAAATATTGGTTTGAGCAGGTACACGTACGTATTTTATACAGTACATACTTCCTGTGTATATAACCAAACGTTTGCGAGAAAACAGTATTTAACTAACCAAGTAAAAATTAATGTTGTTCTAATGTGCTGATTGTGTGACATTGCTGTATTTGTCATATTGTCTCTTTATTTTCTATAACTGTACGAATTAAAAAACATATAAATGTCATTAAAATATACCTGTATGCTGCTACGGCCGCTGGAGCAAGCGCATACACAACTCTGAACTCTTTTCCTCCAAACGCACCTCCTGCGAGGAAAGTTATTCTAAATAAGTGGTCAGAAACTTGTAAATCGACACTTTCGACCATATTATAAAAACAACAAAAATGCAAGAATGCGACTTCTTACGTATCATTATATATGTAGTAACTGAATCTAGCCTTGGGTAATATATAATATATGCTTGTTGACATTCATTTATTACATTCAGGCATAATTAAGCGTGATATACATTGATAACTATTTTAACATGCTTTTAGAAATAACGTCTTCTCTTCAACTCCAGCCTTTGTATGAATGAACCCAATTATATTAAATTTATTAGAATATGAAATACATAACTTGTAAGCTACAGCTTACACAGGTACATGTAGGAGTTATACTTCTTAACTTTCGATTAACGTTATATATTTATTCTTAATTACACGAGTGATGCGAATACATTACTTTGTGTGGAATAGTCAATAAATAGCCAATTACCGTTCTTTAAAAACAGTTTCTCGCTTTAAGTCAGGAACTCTTTTGCAAAGTAGGACATTGGCATAGATATGTAATTAAGGTTATGCGTTGCTGTATTACAAATTGCGAATAGCGGTTTATACTTTGTACTCACCAACCCGTTTTGTCCTAACGGTAATGCGATTTGCCGGAATTTTCAAAAACTTAGAAACTGACTTCTGTAAAAATAAACCTAGAGTTAATAGTATAGAAATACATTTGTTCAAATACAAGCTGTTGAGCTAGAGTTCACATCAAACAAAATCATGATGAAATGATCCGTTTCCAATTTTACTTTTGAGACAATTAAGTCAGTATGTCAGAAAATGCAAAAACAAAAACAAATACGCACACACACACACACACACACACACACACAGACAGATACACACACAGACACACACACACACACACACACACACACACACACACACACACACACACAAAAAAAAAACTTATTCCCTTGTTATCAGTAAATAAACTGTTTTTGACATTATCAGGTTTTTTCCGTTCCTTACAGGGCGATTTTTGTTAGAACAAGCTAATACTCCATACACGACTGGGTGGGGTTTCAGCTCCAATTCCATAATTCGTTTATACATTCTGCACTTTACTCCTGTTGCAATGTGTTACATTAACAGCTTTTCAGAAATTATTCATATCTTCAAAACAAGATACTGAATATAACTCAAATATTTTGAAAATATTTCACAGTCTGTTGTTAATGATGGCACCCACCAACTTCTCAAAAGTCTTACTTGACAGAAATCCTGTGATTGGGTTGTAATGAAAACTTCCATCTCGTCGTCCTCGTGCGGGACAGCCACTGAAGCCTGAGTTTCCATGTACATGTGTTCCTGATAACCTGATGGGATCACTCCCTCCAGTACAAAGTCGCAATCCTCAAACACCTTTTCAGGGTCTCCCATTTGCAGTGGTTTGGATTTGAATGGTATAAACGATTCCTTGCTGATGGCATCCTTTTGATTATAAAAATATAACATATTGAAAACCCATTTATTATAAAGTTTGAATGTAACATGGTTACTATTGTGTGTCCAATAACAGCAGCACATTGCTCTTGTGATAAAACAAAACCAACTGTAGGTCAGACGGAACATCTATTGATAGAAAGACGAACGTCAGACGGAATAGCTATTGATAGAAAGACGAACGTCAGACGGGACAGCGATTATTAGAAAGACGAACGTCAGACGGAACAGCTATTGATAGAAAGATGAACGTCAGACGGAACAGCTATTGATAGAAAGATGAACGTCAGACGGACCATCTATTGATAGAAAGATGAACGTCAAACGGGACAGCTATTGATAGAAAGATGAACGTCAGACGGGACAGCTATTAATAGAAAAACGAACGTCAGACGGGACAGATATTGATAGAAAGATGAACGTCAGACGGAACAGCTATTGATAGAAAGATGAACGTCAGACGGGACAGCTATTCATAGACAGACAAACGTCAGACAGAACAGCTATTGATAGAAAGATGAACGCCAGACGGGACAGCTATTGATAGAAAGACGAACGTCACACGGGACAGCTATTGATAGAAAGACGAACGCCAGACGGAACATCTATTGATAGAAAGATGAACGTCAGACGGGACAGCTATTGATAGAAAGATGATCGTCAGACGGGACAGCTATTGATAGACAGACGAACGTCAGACGGGACACCTATTGATAGAAAGACGAACGTCAGACGGGACACCTATTGATAGAAAGACGAACGTCAGATGGGACAGCTATTGATAGAAAGACGAACGTCAGACGGAACAGCGATTGATATCAAGATGAACGTTACACAAAATGCGCCTCTAAAATTTAGTTATAGATAAAGTACGCAAAACAAATAATAGCACTTCATCATACAGCTGTTCTATAATTCTAGGAATCATCGATGATGCTAGGGTCAAACAGTTGGAATCAATATAGACCTAAACTACTGTTGAAACAAAGGGAATGTGCATAAACCCTTTAATTTATCAATTTTAACAATTTAGAAGAGTCCCGGGTATTTTCAAACTAATAACTAAAGTTTGTAGATTTTGAACTTGGAAATGATTATGCATCAAACATAAACCTCTGGCATAGTTTTATCTGCCTTGAAACGAAACGATACATATTTTGTTGCACCTTAGCATTACCTTAAGTGTCAGAATAGCAGGTAGGTCTTCATATCGTATCTCCACAAGCACTGCTGCCTTTTTTGCAGCCTCTTCTGTCTCTGCTAAGATTGCACCAACTGGTTGCCCATAGAAGTGTACCTTATGTTAAATAGATATATAAACATGCTGACAGTACAAATCTATGATAAACATTACTCTCTACATCGTGATGTTTCGATGTAGAAACCTAAATAATCAGGACTCTTTTGAAATATGATTAACGATTTACTGATAGTTTCCACAGTTATCATTTAAGGACTGCATATTTGATACCTCTAAGTTAATATGGGTCAACAATAATAACGTCGAAAAAAAGTGAAGTAATCTCCTATCTTCGTGAAACACGATAAAATAACACTGGTCTTTACTGGACCTGTGTGTTGACATCATAACGATAAAACTATATGAAAGCTACCCATCATAACTATAAAACTATATGAACGGTTCCCATCATAACTATAAAACTATATGAACGGTTCCCATCATAACTATAAAACTATATGAAAGGTACCCATCATAACTATAAAACTTTATGAACGGTTCCCATCATAACTATAAAACTATATAAACGGTACCATATTAGTCTTTGCATACGAGTCGATACTTTCGCAGCATCTGATGAAAACATTTGACTGATATAGCTGTAATTATTAATGAGGTGACACACGTTTTCCCTACGTCCTCATTGGTTGGATCATAAAGGCGTGGTGGAAGTGGATATTTTTATATCGACGTTTTCTCAGTAACAGAAGGTTAACATTCACTTAGTGACTTCATTTCAATTGTAATGTCACAATGCTCTCTACCCAATCCGGTACTTTCCTCCCGACAAATCGAATACGTTCCGTCTTGTTTGATGATATTAACAATATCTAATACCTTATATAACAAAAACCGACATTTATTTCTGTGAATATCTGATAACATGTATTCCGTCTTTTCGTATTGCAGAGTTATCTACTCTTGTGAACAGGTATTGATTGTTACGTCGTTAGTTTGTGTGAGAAAATTACGTCGTTTTCTCAAATGTTTATGACGTTACTCTCACAAACTCTCACAAACAAATGACGTAACAATCAATACCTGCTCACAAGAGCAGATAACTCTGCAATACGAAAAGACGGAATATGGACCTGAAAAGTGGTATTAACCTGGATTTCGTCTCGGTTAATATCACTTTCTCCTGTGGATTCTACAACAAATGTCCACAAGTGATAAATCAATTAGATATTAGACCATTGTTAATTTATCGTTTTACCAATGAATAAGGTTAGATGGACTCAATATATTACGCATTATGGTAAAAGCAAAATACCTGTATGAGTTTTGAATTCTATTAGATGTGTAGAATATTCAAAACATTTTCTAAATATTTGTATGTTTTTCTGTTGCTTGCATTCACCTATCAAAAGGAATTACCATTCACCAATACTCTGACATGCTAAGGACGAGTAATGAAAAAACATCCCATGTAAACCATCTCATCGTTAATTTGGTTTGCCTTTGATACCAATTGAACTTAAACTGTACCTCTGATGTAGCAAACAAAACATCGTCTTGGGCGCTGACTCCCCATTCGTTCGGCCCTGGTATCCAACTCGCGTCCATAAAATCTATGACGCCTGGAACCTGTCTTGCTTTTGTAACATCTATTGACACAATTTTGGCATGTGCTTTTGTGCTACCGATCAGTTCGACCCATATCTCACCTGTAATAGCAAGCTAGATAATATTTTTATTTCGTCCTCGACATATTTATAACTGACAGGAAGTTATCGTAGATCAAACTTTGATTTGGCAGTAAGTTGGGAAGGGATACACTACATATACATTACATATACATTACATAAACATTTCATATACATTGTATTACTCCGATAATTTAAGATGCACTTATACATAATTATCATAATTCAATATTTCTGAAATAATTTTATTTATAGCTTTCCACTTTTAACGGCAAAATCTTACAACAATTATGAAAAAAAATGTGTTCTGTATTTAAACAACTAAACATTAGGACCAACACAAAACCTGCTGGCGTTTCGTTCACCAGGCACCAGAAAGGCCCACCGGTTAGACGGAAGCTTTGCTAATTTGGAATAAAATTACAATAGTGGGTTACCCGACATAGGACTTTGCTCAGCTGTTTCACAGAAGCTGCGTTTTTGTGATTTGCTTCTATTGTAAACGTCTTTATATATATAGCAGCGATATATTTCCCTCTTATTCCTTTTAGCACTAATGATGGCGTTTGAAATTCGAATAAATTAATCAAAATGCGCTTAATATACCATTTTATATTTCAGATATCTAAACTTAATGCATGAATGTCTCGTTATAACAGAAATATACCAAAACTCCTAATGAGTCAGCCTTTTTCCGAAGGTGTAACCGATTATTGAGCGCTGCCTTACTTACCTTTATGACGTGGAATGTCTGAAACAAACGTCGCCTCGCCGGATACTAAAGAACGTCCTGATACAATGGGGATGGGTTTGCCCACTGCATCGTGCTCCGGTTGGGTCGGAGATAGAGTCTCCCACACCTGTGTGCCTGTACTTGTACCATAATCACGAATATCGTCTTTTGTATCTGTCTGAGGGAATAGGTATGGAATTCGAGTATAGCTTTAGCTAAGCAGTCCTTAGAAAACCTAATTCTAATTCGAGCTGATCTTAGATTTTTAAGCACTAGGATTTGCTAAACTGGAAATATAACATTTATGTACTGTCGAAAAGGGATGAACTATTTCTCTCTCCCTACAATTTTATTCAAGGTTATCGCCTTAGCTATCTCATAACCAAACGCTACGCTTACACATACCCCGCCATGACTTTTAAGGTGTCCTATGTCACCGATTGCTACGCTAACAGCTGATTTCGACCCTATTCTCGTACCAATTTGAAAAGGGGATAGGGGGGATTGTCCTAACTTTAATGAGAACAACAATGAGACCCGTACACAATGCTACTGTTTTGCAACAATGTATATTGAGCGTGTTTATGGTTACATAAAGTATTGTATGACAGTTTTGTCTTTTGACCTTAGGTACAACTTACAGGTACGAAATGAACGAAATGGTCGTATAGACTAATTCAGCTCTTCGCTATGTTTAGCTTCCCGAATCAACAAACCAATTTTATATATAAACGCTCCGTTACTTTGTACTTTTAGTAAAGATTCCACGTCACAATGTGGTTGGCCTATACAGTATAAGACCTCGAGTTTGCCGTTACCTTTCAGCTGGAATTTATTCATGCGCGGTTTTATGAAATACCAGTTTAAAAATACAAAATATGATATTGCAAAAATGTGTATATGTTTAATTGGCACCTAGTGTTTCTGAACAAGTTAAAACGGCTGATCCTTTGTTCCACTGATGGGTCCTAAATAGATAACATAGCAATAGAGATGTAAACATATGCACTTTGTTTGACTTTTTCATCGACTTAATAGAAGTTTTCTTTCTTCGTTTTTCCAGTGAATTGTTCACCATACTTTCATCACATGCATGGCAGAATCCAAGCGCCGTTTTCATAGGTCATTACTCGGCGAAAACTCGTTCAGATAAATAATTGGAAACATCGGAAATACTCATAAATGATCAGAGTGATATAACAGTATGATATAACAGTTATCATGATATAACAGTTATCATGATATAACAGTTATCATATAATCTCTGAGTTGATAAAAGGGTAAGCACGAAGGATTCTTACTATCAATAACTTTACTCTCTTCATTAGACCTAAGAATCTAATTAACGTTTTTATCATCTTATACGGATTTTGATGGAAGCCATAACTATTTCAACATAACTATTACACTCAACCATAGTATTTCAACCATAATAAACAAATTGCTGCTGAAAAATGATACTACACAAATACCTCTTTGGTATCAATCGCTATTTGGTTCCAGAACTTCCGAAAAAATCCCTGAGCCAGCTGCATTTTGAACTTGTTTTCTATTCCTTTTTGCATCCGTTCTAGGTCTTCTGTTAGCGAATCACGTACTTGTCCAAACGTGGAATAGTTTAATTTTCTGTGAAATAAGTTTTCATTCATAATCTTAAAGTGAGCAAAATCTGTTAAATGTTGAAATAAATTGTAATATTGGCTAATATTATGTTCAATCAATTGCTGTGGTTTCCTTGATAATCATCTTTGTTCTTGATAACCGTTAAAGGAAATGAACAGGAGCGTCATTTCTAAACATTAACTGCAATTAATATGATAGTGGTACATTTTCTCATCTCATTATTGTCGTTTCTTTATTTTTAATATATGTGATGAAGAACGTTTCATAAGAATAATGTTAAGAAATAAGTGTGCATGTAAGCAATTGCAATTTCATTTGTGTGCATGTCGTATGATATTCTTGTAAGATTGCAAACTATTTCACAATTCTTATTGTTTGCCGCGTCTAAAATGAAATTCCATGTCTGGTTAACTGAATTGGCTGGTGAGTTGTACAGTATCAGTATATATTAATTGGCTGGTGAGGTGTACAGTATCAGTGTATATTAGTTGGCTGGTGAGGTGTACAATATCAGTATATATTAGTTGCCTGGTGAGGTATTCTTATTGTTTGCCGCGTCTAAAAGGAAATTCCATGTCTGGTTAACTGAATCGGCTGGTGAGTTGTACAGTATCAGTCTATATTAATTGGCTGGTGAGGGGTACAGTATCAGTATATATTAGTTGGCTGATGAGGTGTACAGTATCAGTATATATAAGTTGCCGGGTGAGGTGTACAGTATCAGTATATATTAATTGGCTGGTGAGGTTACAGTATCAGTATATATTAATTGGCTGGTGAGGTGTACAGTATCAGTATATATTCGTTGGTTGGTGAGGTGTACAGTATCAGTATATATTAATTGGCTGGTGAGGTGTACAGTATCAGTATATATTCGTTGGTTGGTGAGGTGTACAGTATCAGTATATATTAATTGGCTGGTGAGGTGTACAGTATCAGTATATATTCGTTGGTTGGTGAGGTGTACAGTATCAGTATATACTAATTGGCTGGTGAGGTGTACAGTATCAGTATATATTAGTTGGCTGATGAGGTGTACAGTATCAGTATATATAAGTTGCCGGGTGAGGTGTACAGTATCAGTATATATTAATTGGCTGGTGAGGTTACAGTATCAGTATATATTAATTGGCTGGTGAGGTGTACAGTATCAGTATATATTCGTTGGTTGGTGAGGTGTACAGTATCAGTATATATTAATTGGCTGGTGAGGTGTACAGTATCAGTATATATTCGTTGGTTGGTGAGGTGTACAGTATCAGTATATATTAATTGGCTGGTGAGGTGTACAGTATCAGTATATATTCGTTGGTTGGTGAGGTGTACAGTATCAGTATATATTAATTGGCTGGTGAGGTGTACAGTATCAGTATATATTCGTTGGTTGGTGAGGTGTACAGTATCAGTATATATTAATTGGCTGGTGAGGTGTACAGTATCAGTATATATTCGTTGGTTGGTGAGGTGTACAGTATCAGTATATATTAATTGGCTGGTGAGGTGTACAGTATCAGTATATATTCGTTGGTTGGTGAGGTGTACAGTATCAGTATATATTAATTGGCTGGTGAGGTGTACAGTATCAGTATATATTAGTTGGTTGGTGAGGTGTACAGTATCAGTATATATTAATTGGCTGGTGAGGTTACAGTATCAGTATATATTAATTGGCTGGAGAGGGGTACAGTATCAGTATATATTCGTTGGTTGGTGAGGGGTACAGTATCAGTATATATTAATTGGCTGGGGAGGTGTACAGTATCAGTATATATTAATTGGCTGGTGAGGTGTACAGTATCAGTATATATTCGTTTGGTTGGTGAGGTGTACAGTATCAGTATACATTAATTAGCTGGTGAGGTGTACATTATCAGTATATATTAGTTGGCTGGTGAGGTGTACAATATCAGTATATATTAGTTGGTTGGTGAGGTGTACAGTATCAGTATATATTAATTCGTTGGTGAGGAGTACAATATCAGTATATATTAGTTGGCTGGTGAGGTGTACAGCATCAGTATATATTAATTGGCTGGTGAGGTGTACAGTATCAGTATATATTAGTTGGCTGGTGAGGTGTACAGTATCAGTATATATTCGTCGGTTGGTGAGGTGTACAGTATCAGTATATATTAGTTGGCTGATGAGGTGTACATTATCAGTATATATTATTTGGCTGGTGAGGTGTACAGCATCAGTATACATTAATTGGCTGGTGAGGTGTACAGTATCAGTATATATTAATTGGCCGGTGAGGTGTACAGTATCAGTATATAGTAATTGGGTTGCCTGGTGAGGTGGACAGTATCAGTATATATGGCTGATGAGGTGTACAGTATTAATATATATTAGTTGCCTGGTGAGGTGTACAGTATCAGTATATATTAGTTGCCTGGTGAGGTGGACAGTATCAGTATATATGAATTGGCTGTTGATGTGTGCAGTATCAGTATATATTGGTTGGCTGATGAGGTGTATAGTATCAGTGTATATTAATTGGCTGGTGATGTGTATAGTATCAGTATATATTAGTTGGATGATGAGGTGTACAGCATCAGTATATATTAGTTGGCTGATGAGGTGTACAGTATCAGTGTATATTAGTTGGCTGGTGAGGTGTACAATATCAGTATATATTAGTTGGATGATGAGGTGTACAGCATCAGTATATATTAATTGCCTGGTGAGGTGTACAGTATCAGTATATATTAATTGGCTGTTGATGTGTATAGTATCAGTATATATTAGTTGGCTGATGAGGTGTACAGTATCAGTGTATATTAATTGGCTGTTGATGTGTACAGTATCAGTATATATTAGTTGGCTGATGAGGTGTATAGTATCAGTGTATATTAATTGGCTGGTGAGGTGTACAGCATCAGTATATATTAATTGGCTGGTGAGGTGTACAGTATCAGTATATATTAGTTGCCTGGTGATGTGTACAGTATCAGTATATATAAGTTGCCTGGTGAGGTGTACAGTATCAGTATATATTAATTGGCTGGTGATGTGTACAGTATCAGTATATATTAATTGGCTGGTGAGGTGTACAGCATCAGTATATATTAGTTGGCTGGTGAGGTGTACAGTATCAGTATATATTAATTGGCTGGTGATGTGTACAGTATCAGTATATATTAGTTGCCTGGTGAGGTGTACAGTATCAGTATATATTAGTTGGATTATGTCTTGATTTCAATAATCGGTGTAAGCGACGACACAAAAGACGTTTCAATCTTCCTTAATACGTAACTTATTAATCCCTTCCTTTTTCTTTTACATTGATTCGTCAATCATACCAATGTAATCTTTAGTTGTTTAATTACACCATTGAGCTGCTGGATACGTTTAATTGGCTTATAAGGCGAAGTTTGGTGTATGAATTGCTTGATTAAGTAGCCACCAGCGTTCTATCGTCGTCAATGATGATAGTTAACAAGATGTCTACATGACAATCACGACGGTTTTATGTAAAAACACGTAGTATGGTGGTTGGTACGTTTGACTCGTTACTTGATGTAACACTTACTTTCCAACAAGTAGGCTAGCTGTATGTGATGCTGCTGTAAATGTTGGACCGATTCCGCCAAAGAACAGACGTGCTGAAGTTACCGTCTCATCAGCCAGAGTAACAGTGAAGCAAGCATTGGCAATGGCGTAGTCAAAACTCTTTCGTTTTGACTGTTTATAGTAAAACGTTTTACTTTGCTGTGAGAAACAACAGAATGTAAAGGGAAATTAAATGTTACTAAATTGCGGGTATGAATCATTTCGGAAAATACCAATACTGTCGCAACCCTATTTTATAATTGTAATGTGGGGTTTTATTCCAGGCTTGTCCTTAAAATTCACGTTGGAATATTGTAATTTTATACCAATAATCGTTTATTCCTATATTTTATAAAAAATCATTGTTTGTATCTTTAACTTTAACTTTTTTCGATTAAGTGGTTTTTTTTCAATGCTAAACTTCTCATACTGTCCGTCTGTAGATTCTGAACGTCTGATTTCATGGAACAGTTGGTAACTTAATCCAAATGTCATTTAAAAGAAACCTTACAGTACAAGCATACAAGTGAATCAAGTTGATATATTCTACTATACCGACGAATCAGAAAGCGGAGTTTAGTGAGAACAAATAATAAAAGTAAATATTAATTGCGACGTCTCAACAGTATTGACTTTTCCTTTTTGTGACATCGAAATGCAGTATTCATTGACTCAACATTTATGAGATCATATTTTTATAACGAAAATGCAGTAAAAATTATGTTTGCGAAAGATACCAAAATATTCACCTTAATTAGTGAAATACAATTGTTATTTATCAAGAAATCAGGGATATCTCCTACCTTTTTGTAAGGTGTCTCATTTTGATATAACCATCTATATAAACAGCATCAATATGTACACATGTTGAAAAGGTGAATTGATTAGTAACTAGAGAAGTTAACAAAAATCTAAATTTGACTCAAGTCTACATTTTTTATAACGAAAACTTATGCATTTAACAAAATATTATGTATTTTATTAATTGTCTTCTGATTCAGTTTGCTGAAGTGACGGACATTGGTCTAAATATACAATCATTGAATGATAGACTTCTATAGATGCAGGATGCGTTCTGACCGCAGTTTCCTGACTATCTTACCGTGTTCATAGGTATTCTTATTGAAACTACGACGTCCGATTTCTGCAGACTAGTTTTCCAAGGCCCCGAGACCAAATCTTCCTCTATCAAAATTTCCGACTGTCCATCTTTAAATGAAAAAAAAAATCACATTTCGAATGGTTTTTAAATAGGTGTGAGAAATTGATTAAACAATTCTATAACGAGTGTAAACATTGTAGTTAATTCAATTTAAAGTCTAAATTTAAATGATGAAAATACCTTTCGTAGCTATAAGCGCCGTAGCCCCCAGAGCCATCAGCACTGGGTACAGGTCTGAGCGTGGATCACAAAGTGCAAGGTGACCGCCTATTGTCTGTAATATATTACAATGTACATACATGTATATGGGGATATAAATGAGTATTGAAATATATGTTGACATCATGGGCGAAAATTCCATTCAAATTTAAAGGCCAAATTAAATTCTTAGCCCTTTTTTCATTTTAAAAAATTAATTTAGCCTTTAGCCTTTTAATTTTCTTAAATAAAATAAAAATAGATAAACTAATTGATAGAGGCTTTGTGAACAAGAGGAGGTAGTGTTTTTTGTGTTTTTGACAATGCGTGTTGCCTACTACGATGAAAAGATTCCATTCATTTTTTCCAAACACAAAATATAACTTTTGTTTTAGTGAAAAAAACGATTGCAATATTTACCAAACAAATATCAACGCGCAATAGTTAATGTTATACAAAGATTCTAATTTTTGAAAATATGTAAACGTTTATTAGATAACAGTTTCTAAATATGTTCACGTTTTTTTCTACATTCATATTGATCTTAACGTGTTATACACAATGACAGTTGACAAAGTGATAGGACAGCAATACAATGAGTCGGTATATTGTTCTAGAGTGTCGTTATCACTCATGGCTTTTATCCATAACAAAAGTAAACGATTTGTGTTTTAAATGAAAAGTACGAGAAGAGCAAGACCGGGTGTTCCGGAAGTGAAAACGTCTTCTCTTCTGCTTTATAGACGACAGCAGTCGTGTAAATTTAGGTCAGATCATAGTAATGTCACGTCTTTAAAGAGATAAGTGTAGAAGACGAATAAAATTAAAACAGGAAGGAATAACTCGACATTCACGTAACACATGGAAAAGGCATATTTCCAATTGAGATCATTATGACGAACAAAGCAAATGGCCCTATCCTTCCCGAAACTGCACCTCTCAAAACTATGTGTTGTTCAAGTGAATTCGGCATGCTTATTGTACAGCTTAGTAGTGCAAACAGTGCATGCTTATCATGCTGTTAGTGAAGATCTAAGTAGCAAAAGCACATGCACCTTAATAATAGAGATATTCTATCAAATTCTAGTAAAGTTCTACTTGTTAAATTTGAATTTCTGCACTTTTTGTATATAATATTCGCTCCACAAATACGTAATTCCACAAGGCGTTTCTTACTGAAACGTTCCTTATCTGGTCTGATCCTAGTAACCGCAAGCTTTTCTTCAGTGCATGGATACTCGTGTAACACTGGTCTGAAATGGTAATATATCAGTGTTTTTTTTGTTTTTGTTTTTATAAAAATTGAACCTAAAGAATGTCTTAAAGCGACAGAGTTGACAGGATATTATATTTGAATATGATCGATATGTGAAGGAAAAACATGTAGATAACCTTCTGTTTATGTGAAGCAATACATATTTGTTATTTCATGTAAGTTATGTAATTGAGACCAAAAAGTAATCCGCATCTATCAAAATCGATCGATTTTATAAGTGTTTTAGATTTGATTTCTTTCTGAAATATAGATAAAAAATTACATGATTGATACTCATCAAGACATTTTGAAAAACAATCTTGATAATGAGTTAGAAGTTTGACGAAATCCCCTCAGGTAAAGGTTGTGTTTTAGTATCTTTTAACATTGAATATTACATTGTGTGTCCTCAAAAAGTATAACTTTTACCTTTTTCAACGGCGGAAATGATACCATCTAAATGGTTCTCCAAAGATGCAAGATCAACTGCAGCACCGACTTCAAGTACATCGTTTTGTAACAGGAACACATTCATTTCCTGTACGTGGGAGCAACAAATCAGTGTATTTCCGGTCATAGTTCCTTTCTTCAAATAGTATCCTGTAAAGAGATGAAATGTTATGAATCTGCGAATAGTCCGGCTAAAATGTTATTATATACTTAATCACACACTTTACTGATATTTGAAGCGAATTAAACACATTAACAATGTAAAAAAAATATTCTGAAATTTTAAAAAGAGGCCTAGAGGGCCTATGTCGCTCATCTCTTTATTTTGTTACATGAAACTGACATAAAGGTAACCTAATTTGGTAACTAGAACACAAGACATTTTAACATCTCAAACGGTTCTCAAGATATTGTTGTTTGGATTTTGAAATTTGAATTTTACAGCTTTTAACCCACGTTGACCTTTGACTCCGACTAGCAATTCAAGTTGACCTTAAACGTCATTACTGTTATTAAGAAAAATATTTGCACTGCTGGTCTACATAACATACCCAAGTATAATGACTCAAGTCTAAATGGTTCTTAGGACATTGTTGTTTGAAGTTTTTAACATATTTGACTCCATGTGACCTTGAAAGTAGGTCAAGGTCATTTTAATGAGAAAACTGTATAGCACTCCATCCCTGGTACCTACTGGCGAAATAGCATGAACACATGCCTCATGGAACTTGAGAAGAAGATCGTTAAAGCTTTTAATCCTTGATGATCTTTGACCCCTGACTAGCACTTAAAGATTCGCACTGCTAGTGTACATAACATATCCATGTATCCTGACTCTAGTCCTTATGGTCTATTAAATATTGTTGTTTGAATTTTTAAAATATTTGACTCCTGTAACCTTGAAAGTAGGTTAAGGTAATTTAAATGAGGAAACCCCATCCCATCTACCTACTGGTCAAATGTCGTGACCGTATGTCCTCCAGGTCTTCAGAAGATGTGGTTCAAAAGAAAAAGTTGACGGACGGACGACGGACGCAGTACGGCATAAGCTCACATGGCCCTTCGAGCCAGTTGAGCTAAAACTGTTTGTATCGGCATTATATCAATGCTAAGACATGGAGGATATCTAACAATTTCGCTTTGAACGCCACATGTATTTCATGAGTGTGGCAGAAAACTTCAATATTTCAAGGATTGCGACTAATAAGAGAAAAAGAAATGCAAACCAATAGCAGTGGCTCCCATGACAAGCCTGGCCCCTTGGATGTCCTCCATTAGTTGTACGACTTCCTGTAATGTGGTTGGTCTGACCCACACCATGTCCCTTGACACGAAGCGCACAGTGTTGGAACCAAGCGCCTATTTGTAAACACAGGTACTACAGTTGTGTACGTGATCGGGTAACCATGTGTTTAATTGATTTCGCTTACAAGAACAGATTAACTTTTAACAGGAAAGGACGGAAGTCAAAACTTAATATGAATACAACATCATATGGACGAGACTTTTTTTCAAATGGTAAAGCAAGAACGCGTTATTTGATATTTTTAGAACAACATGCACAGCGTTAATCGTTACCTGTAGATCCGATTGGAAGTCACTAACTGAAGCCTTTTCTTGATGAGTTTTGAATTCACAAGTCTGTAATAAACGGGTTAAATGTTATTCAGCTGAGGACTTTGTTTAAATCCCATACATTCACATGTGGTATCCAGAATTAAACAGGTTAGTAGTTATAGACCTTTCCTAAATGTATCAAGTTATAGATATATAAATATCTTTTTTAATAAATCAAGCTTTGCTTCGAGGTGAGATTCTTGAATGTCTAACCCTCAGCTTGAAGCAAATCTTGCGTTGGACAAACAAAAACATCACCTCTCATATTGAAATTTTTCAGTCATATGCCCAGCGTTAAGGGTAAGTTAAACCAACTGGAAACTAATGTAAGCACCGTCACTCATTAACAAATCATCAAATTCTAGCCGTTGAACTTCATGAATCATCTCCCATTTTCTTTCCTTACCCGAGCTTTCAATATGTCTTCAATGTCGCCGCATGCACCCTCCTAAAAATATTTATGTGTATAAAATAAAAATGGCATTATTACAAAACAGAGTTAAGTGTAAATTGTGTAATTATGATACCGGAATTCCTATCGGGTGTATTGATATGTACGTACTCTACACTACAGTTGATCATCAACTAAACGGATTTTTCTAGAGAATTGAGCTTCTGGAAGCAAAGGAAAAGACTCGTAATGAAATGATTCTCTAATTTATTTTATAAATAACTATAGTTGATTAACGCTTAAATTTTCGGTTTAATTTAGCATTAGTATCACGCTTCATCTTTTAAATGTTAGTTAAGATATTTTTCTAGCACTATTGGACAAACTGTGTTTCTTCAATGCTTTATGATATCTTTTAAACTGCAATAAGGGAAGAGCTGACATATAGTGCAAAACTGTCTCTTTACCTATCATTTGAATTTGATTTTAACTGTTCAAAAACAGTTAATACTTTCTATGATAATGACAGATATTCATCCGGTACTGACATATTACCAAGACTGGGATGAATCCAATCTTTCATACTGTACCTCAACCGTAGAAAATTAGAATGACTAATTAAAACAAATACCTTACAAAGAGGTTTGAATGACTCTATAATTGGTCTGTATCCGGTACATCTGCAGAGGTTACCTTTAATGATAAAAAAACCATATTAAAAGCAAACTTTAAAAATGTGATAAATGTTTAGATGTATTAGTTTTTGCTCTTATTGAATTCCGGACTCTCAACAGTAAAATTGACAATTAAGTTGTACAGTCTCTATAAAACCTCAAAATCAATCGCTCTGTGGTTTACACATAGGGGCCCACTTGCATAAAACATCTCAACTCTTGAGATTTCCTCAAGTCTAAGATTTCCCATAGACAATACATTGCTTGAGATTTTCCTTAACTTTGAGATGTTTTATAGAAGTGGGCCAGGGTCTTTCAATTGGAGACAAATTATGGTTAAATTAAATGAAAAAAACACTTGTTGTAAATCATTATCAAACTATGAAAATATTTCCGAAAAACGAGTGTTGCTATCAGTAAACATAGAAAATGTTATCTCGTTCCTGCAAAATATGGATTTTTGTTTAAAATAAAGCAAGAACCAAAGAAACCATCCAAAACGATAAAACCTTTTGTTGCTTAATGTAAATATAAGTAAAACTAATTGGATTGCATACCGTCATAGAGTCAAGAATAGGTATTTCTATCTTCATAAACAAATTGTTTCCATTGGATCGTGTTAATGCAGATAATGCAAACGAAGAACTAATGATGTTTATGTGCCTACAATTGTATCTTTCATCAGATTGAACGGAAAGCTACTGATGTAGAGTATTACTAACAAGTTGAAGAACATACCCCCAAGCTTGCGATAGACCGACAGAGTCTGGGATAGTGAAATATCCGCGAGTGTCCAGGACAGGCCAGGAACAGCCTAACTCCGAATCAATGCCCTAAAAGCCGTGCGTTATCCGAACTCCGAAGAATTCCCTAGTATGTATTATCTTTTATAGTTTGGCAAGAACGGAAACAATCAGTAACACGGATTTTGTGTCGAGTTTAAATATTGAAATTTACAAATGGATGGGACACATATTTCCAATGAGACATTCAAACAATGAATAAAATAAATTAACCATAGTCTCATCTTGGGATTATCGTATTGGTGCACGTTCCAAAGATGTTATGCAGTAATCAACTGTCACGCAAAACTTGTAACAGTATGAAAATGTTGCAACGCTGGCAAAGTCATATCTCTCCATCAGATAACTTCCTTTACATCAATACGATATACCTTATATCGACATTAGCCAGCACACATTACCTTCCAGCGCCTGCTCCAGTCGTTCCTGTGACGGCTCCTTGTCTGTCTGTGTGAGTGTATACACAGACATGATCATACCCGGGGTACAATAACCACACTGTACACCGTGGCACGCCACCATACTCTCCTTTATAAAAATATCGAATATATACCGAACGTCCATTATTTTTGTTACATGATGACAATGATTGAAAATGATTAAAAACTGCTAGAAAAAACGTATAAATTGTCTATTATAATTCAATAATAGGACCACTACACAAACGTTAATGATAATTCAAGTAACTTTTTCATACATATCGTGCATATAACTAAAAATTCATTTTAAACAAATCAGCTGGAATCTATTAACTATATTTTTGTGAGTTTGGTATTACCTGTATTGGATGCAAGCCTTTCCGCTGACTGCTTACACCCTCTATTGTAGTTATAACATGACCGTGGAGATAGCAAAGCGGAGTTATACACGCATAGATGTTTTTATGTCGGTTTAAATGTCAAAGAAATATTTTACAATAATGATGGTGAACAAATGTGTATGTATTATCTTAAGACCAATTAGGATTTCAACCTGTTGTCCCCTAGCATCAGCGTCATCCTAGAAGAACGGAACAGCTGTGTGATGCAGTATACTTCTTTCTTATCGATGAGACGACACGGATAACTCAATAAGTCACCAGAAACCTTCACATCAATCGAAGGGGGAGAGGGGGTTCCATGATAAATAGGGTTTACTGCACCATATGTGGTGCCCGCTTTAAAAGTTGGAAAACTGTCTACATATACTTAAGATAACTATTAATTAGTTTTAATCGTTCGGTATTACGTATTTGATAACAAAAGAAATTGCCCTTTATAGAATTGACACTAGGTATTGCACAGCAAAATAAAATGAGAGAAACAAATAATCAACCTCAAAAATGTACCAAGGCCTGAATTAAAACCTTTGACCTCTAACTCGATTGAGACGGTCGCTCCAACAGACTGAGCTATACCTGATGGATTATAATCACCTGGCCCGTTTCCACCACAACTACTTCAAACCTATTTTAAGGGGAGGGAAGTAAAGATATGAAAACATTGAAGTAAGATTAACCTGTATGATCCCTAGCTCAAACCAACTGGAAACAGAATTGTTCAATCGATAGGCGACTAGATGTCCTATAAAGGATACCGGACAATCTTCTGACCTGGGTCCCACCATGACGTCATCACCGTACACGCTCCACATCCTCCTTGGTCGCATCCATTCTTCGTTCCAGTCAAGCCCACAAAAACATTGTCAAGGAGTTTTGTATGGTAATCAGCTATCCCCTGGTCATACTTACCACGTTTTGGTGAAATTGTGCACTTAATTTATAATGAAAAACTAAATATAACTGACGTACGAAATATAACTAAGAGAATTAGCTGATTAACAGAGTATAACGCTTTATAAGAAACAGAGTAGTTTTCTTTAAATTTATGGATTAGTTTCCATTATGTCTTAGACCCCTGTTTCGCAAAGTCGACAAAACCTATACAATAGTAGTGCTATTGGGGTCGTTAAATAAAAGTCATGGTCAAAACGTATTCAAACATTTTAAGAAATGATTCCAAGTAAAGGTCGTTAATGTTAAAAAGATACGTTCATTCCGTAGGTACTGAAGTAGTGTTCTCGATGGTTGAGGTGCTGCAATCACCTTCTGCATAAAAAAAGTCAAATTATAAATTGTCCATAAGTGTCTTAGTGTTGATCAATTACTCCTTTCTCAGATGGTCTAAACGTCAGCATGTAGATACTTAATTCTGGAATTTGTTTGTTTAGTCTTTGCTATGCCTAATGGTATATAAGGCAAGGACAAATTGCCCTCACTCTTCTCTATAATTTGCTTTTCTATCTATTTCATTTTGATGGTGCGCCTCCAAGTTGTGTTTGGTCTACCTCTTTTCCCTTTTCCTTCTGGTGAAGAGTACTTAATGTACAAAATGGGTATAAGTAAATGATCAATTTGCTACCAATTCTGCATCGATCTATTGGATAGATAGGTGCTTTCCTACCTACACTTTATATAAGATAGCATACTCAATTTTCATGCAGAAAGATATGCCCAAGCAAACAGAACGCCGTTAAATAACAAGACTTATCTATACAAGGCAAGCAATTAACATCAGTAGATACTGATTTCGTATATATATATATAACACAGTGATATACATTTTGTACATAACATAAATAATTACCTGTTCGCCATTGACGTAGATGACTAGTTTATCTCCTACCTCGTCCATCTTCAGTCACAGCCAAGTCTGAAAATATGTCAGTATTGATCATCTCGAGGTGACTTGTTAATAAGTGATCAATTACTCCAACGGGCAATCCAAACAAATCGGCAACAGTTATGTAGAAGATTACTCTACATATATGATGCAGGTTTGATGTCAAATCTGTTTCTGTGTTAACTATTGTAATTGAGAAATTGTAAAATAAATTGGATAAAACATTATTTAAAACAAATCAACTAATTGCTGTTCCCGTCGTTATTCCATCTAAATGTCCTAGTGTAGGAGGAGATATCGCGGCATACATATCCGAATAAATGCAGTAAATATTGTTAGCCACGCTGCATGACTAGGTAGATGTACCTCGGAGAAAAATACCAGTAAAGAACGATGACTATTGTTAATACTTTGTGTTTCTGATGGATATGGGTTTCCTGCCCCATTTGTGTGTATTGCCTTGATTGGGGGTCATTGTTTGCCCGCGTGACTGCGTTTGAGTTTAGTGTTCCATGGCTGAGGAGGAGCACATGTACAGTACTTTTTGAGTTTATTGTTCCATGGCTGAGGAGGAACATATGTACAGTATTTCTTGAGTTTAGTGTTCCATGGCTTAGGAGGAACACATGTACAATACTACTTGAGTTTAGTGTTCAATGGCTGAGGAGGAACACATATACAGAACTACTTGAGTTTAGTGTTCCATGGCAGAGGAGGAGCACATGTACAGTACTACTTGAGTTTAGTGTTCCATGGCTGAGGAGGAACACATATACAGTACTACTTGAGTTTAGTGTTCCATGGCTTAGGAGGAACACATGTACAGTACTACTTGAGTTTAGTGTTCCATGGCTTAGGAGGAACACATGTACAGTACTACTTGAGTTTAGTGTTCCATGGCTGAGGAGGAGCACATGTACAGTATTACTTGAGTTTAGTGTTCCATGGCAGAGGAGGAGCACATGTACAGTACTTTTTGAGTTTATTGTTCCATGGCTGAGGAGGAACACATGTACAGTATTACTTGAGTTTAGTGTTCCATGGCAGAGGAGGAGCACATGTACAGTCCTTTTTGAGTTTATTGTTCCATGGCTGAGTAGGAACACATGTACAGTATTACTTGAGTTTAGTGTTCCATGGCAGAGGAGGCGCACATGTACAGTACTTTTTGAGTTTATTGTTCCATGGCTGAGGAGGGACACATGTACAGTATTACTTGAGTTTAGTGTTCCATGGCTTAGGAGGAACACATGTACAGTACTACTTGAGTTTAGTGTTACATGGCTGAGGAGGAGCACATGTACAGTATTACTTGAGATTAGTGTTCCATGGCTGAGGAGGAGCACATGTACAGAACTACATGCGTTTACTGTTCCATGGCTGAGGAGGAGCACATGTAAAGTACTACATGCGTTTACTGTTCCATGGCTGAGGAGGAGCACATGAACAGTACTACTTGAGTTTAGTGTTCCATGGCTTATGAGGATCACATGTACAGTACTATTTGATTTTAGTGTTCCATGGCTGAAGAGGAGCACATGTACATTACTACTTGAGTTTAGTGTTCCATGGCTAAGGAGGAGCACAAGTACAGTACTACTTGAGTTTAGTGTTCCATGGCTGAGGAGGAGCACATGTACAGTACTACATGCGTTTACTGTTCCATGGCTGAGGAGGAGCACATGTACAGTACTACTTAGCACCACCTCGATTTGCGACAGAATTCGGTCACATCAATCCAAGTCCGTCTAAGGCTACCTGCAAATCGTATCGTTATCAACATAGCAAGGTCAAACGAACCGACTGTTTATATCTTCCCCAGTAACACTATGTACATAGGCCAGGTTAAGATACGTCTGCCCAACGTGTACGCCTTGCCCTACCGGGTTTAACATATCATTTCCATCCAGATTTTACTGGATTGCATTGGAGCTTTATATGTTGACAGTTAATAGTGTTGTTACTATCTTACTGAAAATAAAGTGTTGTGGCAGGTATTTGGGGCTACAGACGCAACGACCGAGACACTGGCGTTCTTGTTGTTTTGTTTTAATCGGGTCATAATAACAACTGTCAAATAGACAACCCTGGCTACATAGCATATTGTTGGCGAGCCAAACCCCGATTCTTAAATCAAGCTCTGGGGTGGCGCCTCTACTGTGACTTATGCATTTTTTTTAAATTTAAATTTACAATCACCAATTGTTTTCATTTCACAGTGTGTCGATAGTTTATAGATCTAATTACAATTTAAATCGAGTACCAGATCTATCATAACATCAAAAGTCGGAGTTTGACTTACACTATTAATGATGAAGTTGATTTTTTGTGTGCACGGGTACAGCTTACACAGCATTGATAATCTTGTTTTATTTTTGAAAAAATGGATCTTTTCCATCTAATGAATTTACAGATAAAAAATTGAAAACTTTACCTTGAAGCCAATCAATTGGTTTTATAGGCATTCTCAGGTGGGGGTTAACTCAAATAGTAGTAAATGGTCAGTAAATGAGTTCTTCAAGGATAATTAAGATCTAGCAAATTGTTTTTATGAAACCCGGGTTAGATTGTGACATGCATTGCTAATGAAGTTTGTAATTACGGACAGTCATAGAATGAAGCTGACATGTGTACAATCGAGACGTATTTGTGCTGTTATTAGGCTGGATGATTGAAATTAACAGAAATTCAAATCTGGATGGCAATACACACTTCCTGGTATGTACTCTAAAGTGATGACATCGTCATATTACCTATTGCACTAGCTTTACGTATTTTAATATGGAACAAAATCTTAACATGATTTTGAATTATGTCATTTATACGAAATTGTACAGGCTTTGTGGCTTAAAGAGGGATAACGGAGTCGTCACATTGTAAGCAACGTTACGTAGCATTCCTATAAAGTAAATCTACTCACCTGATATAAGCTGTCCAGATCATCTGTGATATTACATGGGATGTGTCAAGGCTTGATACCGCCAATACTACGTTGCCCTCGACCTTGTCACCACACTCAGACCACACATATACCGCGTGTATAAGATGGGTACACACACCTTTACTGGAAGTTCACAAACAAATTGACAACTCAGGACAGAAAATATCGGCGAAAATTTCAGTATAAGTTCAGTCACAGGACTTGTATTGAAATGAAGTTTTCGTATGTAGTATGGCACTACCGTCAATATTCTAAAGAGGTATATAACTGGTCCCGTTTAGTCACGTGTGTACATTACTTTTTCGAATAAGCAAACCTTAGGATTGAGTTGGTAATATATATAAGAGAGATAATGAAAAAGCATTTATAATAAGCATACATTAAAAACCATTTTCAGGGAATTGCCTGAAACAAGGTCGTACGGTCGTTGTTTCTTTATAACACACAATGCACCATTTTCTGTACAAAGACAAAGTAGCATATGGAAGTTACATTTGAAAATGATAGTAGGAGTTTGCTAGTGATATGGACCATTCTTGTCTTAGTCTCCCATAAACGATGCCAGCAAAATCCACAGGGAGCTATAGATACCAGTATCAACAATATTTTTCAATAGATCTTAGTCACTTAACCGACATACTGTTATGAACCCATCAATTGTTTGTCTCAGTCAGTAAAGTCGTTGGTTTGTGATAACGTGTCTCGCACGAGTAACTAGTACGGATTCCGTGATTTAGGGACGGTGACATTCGATGTCTGTCTAGATGTTCTAAAATATGATTACACAATATTTGTTCAAGAAACATAAGAATAACAAAGTCAGGAAACATTTATTTAAAATCTTGGTAAGTCGATACAAAAAGCCGAACAAAGTAAACATTGTACTGTATGGCCATTTCGTCCATTCAGGCTACATCAGTGATACTAAGGTATGGACCTTGGCTTTAAATCAAAGAAATGTATCCTGGAATATTTTGAAAGATTTTATTTTGTACTATACTATAGATTATCTTACAATGTTTGTATTTGCTATTTTATTATTATAACTCTGGTGTTATTTTGGCAGGATGGCACTGTGTATAGTGACAGTCTTTGAAGTGCCTCTAACCAAACACTAGACTATATTACTTGAAGTATATAGAATATGGTTATTGAAATGTTGAAATCTATGATTTTCTAACTATTATTTTCTATGGACATGTATCGATTGGTTCAAGTATTCTCCTATTCATTTGAACATATATTATATCTTCTCTATAATACTCTCTCTCTATATATAAACAAACATATGAAATGTGTGTATTTCTTCTGGAAAGGACTTTAATAGGTTATGCCTTGCCTAATCTAATTGTGTCTTAAATGCAATAAAATTTGTTTGAAATGAAATCAGTGGTACTGTTAAAAGCAAAATAATGAAAATGTAAGTCTACAGAGTTACGAACCCTATGTAGGAGAATGGGACCCAAGTTTCCCACAATGGTAAACATTCCTGCTTATTCGAACGACACCCGCCATGTAAACATAGTCGCAGACAGAAATAGAATATTTTACATATAGATATCATGATGGTGACCATATGACTTACTCTTCATCATCCGGCATAATCTTGAAACCCGGAGTTTTAAATTTGTCTGTAAGCGTTTGACATCTATCAAGAAAATCATATATGGTACATGAAAACGCCGTAGTAGGGAGAAACAGATATGCTACTATCAACAAAGGTAAAGTTCACGATCGAAGTATCAAAACCGTCATACTTATCATACAGCTTATTAGCGAGCTGTCGATAATGACGGGTAATAGGTAGAAGTTGAGATAAACAGCCTGTATTATCCCTGATTTCAGTTTCAGTACATACGATCAATATGGTCAATAATTCGAAATTTTCGAAAAATTTAGACCTACGTGAAAACAAAAACAATACGACCTGTGTGAGTTATGCTAGTGTTCAGATTGGAAAAGTCAAAAGTTCTGACAGAAGTACCTTATTTGGGAAACGATATGGTAAACGTCAATAACCCAGAAATAACATCACTTCAACACGTAGATTGTATTATTAACGATCTAAGGCAGGTGATGTATTGGTTGACATGACGCATATAATCAGTATGTTTCGATACTAGGATTACTGGAGTAACGGATCATTTGCTATATGCGTCTATGTTATTGATAAGAACAGAAAAATAACGATCCTGAATTTTATTCCATCTGGTTTATGTTAGTTTGATAGAGAGGTGATATATTTTATTCAATGTAAATAAAGTTGAAGGGTATCTGCGCGATAAAAGAGATGCAGGTACTTATCAATATATAAATGGCCCATTTTACTATGCCATACGGCCAAGTCATAAATATGGTATTACACACGTGTAGTAATAAAACCTAAAGGTGTTGTGATTGTTCAAAACCGTGGGAACATATTCCTGCGCCACTACAAGCACTACATTTATTTACTACACCGTAATATAAAATGGCTGACTAGATAAACATTGGCGACACGGTTACAATTGACAACAAAGAAACAGGTACTGTAAAGGTTATTGTTCCAAGAGGTTTTGCAACATTTTAAAGTGTAGAAGTTTCTGGAATTTATTTTAAAGTTGAACTTGAACGAGATCGGAAGGTCACTGTTACACAGGCCCGGTCAGAACAGCAACCAGGCAGACGACAAACTTGGATGCTGGGCCTGGGGCTGACAATCCCAAAACAAACAGATTTGTTACCGTAAATGAAGATGAAGCGGGAAATTGTATCCTCAACCAATCTAACAAAAACACTCTAAGCAAAACATTCTACGATGTGAAACTTTTGTATCAATTTTCAAGTTGCCTGAAGTCAATGAAAGTAGACAAATCCACGATATCCCAGTTATTGAACTGTGTCCTTTGCTGTGTAGATTTTTTTATTGGAATCAGGAAAACGGATGGTTCTGAATATGACCCAACCAATTTACGGGGGATGATGTCAAGTTTTGATCGGCAATTACGTCGCAACAGCTACAGTCACATAATTGTTTGCAGCCCTATGTTTGCTCAAGTGGGCGAGGTTATGAAAAGGCAAATTTGGAAACCCCTGACAGGTGCCCTGTGACAATTTATAAACTTTACCGTGAAAAACACCCGACTAGCAACGGTGCCCCATCTGATCCTTTTTACGCAGCAACCAAACAAATATCATCACCTAATATTCCAATTTGGTTCAAGAAACAGCCAGTAGGAGTCAATAAATTGTGCACCATGATGCAAAGAATGATCAAGTTGTCGGGAATCGAAACTGAAAAGCATCTGTCAAATCAGTGCTCTGAAATATCTCGTTCAAAAACTCAGTGACAGTAATGTTCTCCCCACTCAAATTATGCAAATTTCAGGACACAAGAACATTTCATCAATAAACAACTATAGCCATATCAACACAGATCAACACAAGCAGATTTCACGAATCCTGAGGTCCGGAAAATCCGTTCTCTCACCTGCCAACATGTCAACGCCGTCAAGTAGGCCTATTTCCACGTGTTTCACAAAATCGACAAGTTTCCATCTTCGATGTCAGAGATAAGTGGCGGCTTTGAATCAATTTTCAGTGGTTCGATTAGTGGTGGTAACATTTAAATTGATATTTACCAAGGTGGTCAATCAGAACCACCAGGAAAACGTATCCGAAAAGCTATCATTGAAAGTGACAGCGACTCTCAGTAGGCCTGTTGCGACTGCTTGAAACGACATAATTATGAAGCGTGATTAATTTTAATGTCTTAGCTATTAAATGAATTGGAAATGTTTATTTTTGTCATTGTTACTTTCATTGCATTTAAAACTGTTCATAATTTAAAAAAAAAAAAAAAAAAAAATGGAACTAATTTACATTCAGCGGAACGGCAATAGTATGATCGGAGTACTTTGGTATTGGCCTGTATAGAATCTTACACTCGTGTCCATGGCATGGCCACTCATGTAAGATCCTCTATATATGAAATTAAAGGATCAGCAACATAATTCGTTTTCTACCCTCAATGTCTTCCGTATAAGTTGTTTCCTAAAATTAAAAAAACCCAGATCGACTCGGAGTCCAAAGAAACCCCATCGACAATTTTCTTGAGATTCAACAAAACATTGTCAACAAAGTAATTGATCATGTTACATGTAACAACATCTTCCTTTATGTATTTGTTCTAGCTGTAATGTGATTTTTTTATGAACATATTTATCTACGCTTTCCACTTTTAAACCGAAAGGAGATACCACATCCTTGAGACGTGCAAGTGAGGAGTGGTGGTAAGGTACTGAGGAGAGATTATTTGACAAGACATAGATGCAAGGCTCTTCTGAAGTTATTTAAAAAAAAAAAAAATCTAAATCAAATAGATGCCGGTACGTGGATGAATATTTTCCCTATGTTTAAAATCCTAGTTATATTGTAGTTGATGTGGTAATTAGTCTATATTATAGTGGTTTAGCAGAACAAGGGAAGGATCTCGTCATGCCCCTTGGTTTCTTTTCCGTCCAATATTGGGACCCGTGATCTAAATCAAACACCTTATTTGATACACCCAATGATTCAAGTATAGATATATAATTGGTCGATATCACTTTCCTCGGCAGTGTTGATGGTGTACAAGTAGGATTATCAACATTATCCAACAAAGCAGGTTTCTTAAAGTAGACATTTTATAGTATTACCTTCATGCTTGTAATAGACGTTGGAAAACTTTAGTTGTGAAATCGTATTCAATATGAAGTTATAAGAACAGCGTTGAAGATTCTCCCGTCATCTAAATGTACTCCAATCTTAGCATTTTTTATACTTGAAAAACTTCGTATGTACTGGTTAACAAACGTCGTTAGAATATAAAAAGCAGAAAAGGAGAATTTGCAAAAACTGCTGTCCACTCTGTATATTCAGTCATACATCAAATCAATGTTATCATCATAGCCCTGTACTATTGTAATCATTAGCCCTGTCTTTGTGCTATCATTATCCGCGTTGTCTTCTCATTATCCACTTTGTCTTCTCATTATCAACCTGGTCTTTTTAAGTTCATTATCCACCTTGTCTTTTTGTGTTCATTATCCACTTTGTCCTTTCATAATCAGTTTTGTGTTTTCATCATTATCAACCTTGTAACTCGTGTCCTCGAAATCCACCAATTTATATCCAATCACAAACTGGTATCTGCGTAATCTAGAATTTTCTCTTGTAACATTGTGTCTTAATACCAGCATGTGTGTACTCATTATTAGTATTAATCTTTGTTGATATAAAGCTTTATATATTGCTTTGAGCACAGGTTCTTACAAACAATTAGAAGCCTTTTTTGTGACAATTAAAAACTCACCATGAAGTCAATAAGCACGAAAATAACAATTCAATGTTAAAATAAAATTTATTATTATTACTATTCTCTTCCTATGCCATTAATCAACATGAAAATTGTAAAATTACACATTTTATATAATGTATTTAACTGTTGAATAAATGACGAATGACAACGATGCAATTTATAACAGGCACCTAGAAAATTAAATGACCATAGAATCTAGTTTCTCTCTTCTATTAGTCACTTACAGTCATATAAGTTATATAATAATGATTGACATACTTCTGTATCCTTTTAGTTCAATCTTTTTTTTCATTACGGAAATGAGTTTGATAGCACATTAGAACATGTTTCTCAATATAGACAGCACCCGATATTCAATGCAATCATTATCCAAGAATTGACATCTTAAATAAACCCAACATGAGTTCATTGACATAGATTGTGATGCTGAAATCGTTCACACAATAACATTTAAGTACAATATCATCCCTTCACAATCCGTACCTTAAGGAGTATTTTCTCACAAACATACGATGAATTATGTTAATAGAATGATAAACAACGAAACATGACAAATCTACAGAATCAAAATGGTTTTGTAAAGTGTAAGTACGATTTTATTGAGATAAGCGAATAATTGAATATAAGTTTCGTAGTAAAAAACAACTGTTCGGTGCAATTGCTCAGAGAATCTTAAAAAGGAAAGTGCTCTGCGCCAGAGTTTAACTTTTTTAACACGGCTCATACCATTTTACCACTATTTGGGGAAAACGTTGATTGTATTTGATATGGGTGGACGGACAAGATAAATAGAATACAAGATATGGACGGAGAGACACAAGCAGCTTTGAACGGACGTAAAGTGATGTCATGTAATAAACAAATGACGTATTAATTGGCACAAATATGTAACGTTGACGGAATGTTTAAGTAACGTGTATTATACACTAAGTCTCGTCTAATTCAATTCTTACAAGCACTTTGTTTTTAAATGTGAAAAAAAACAAGTTCCTTTCGTAGTAATTAAAAAGAAGTTGCAATAAATAATGATATTTTCGTCGACAAAAATGAATACAATCAGGAATATCTATGAGGTAATGATACTAATAGTGTTCCTGTCCTGATCAAATTGACCAAAAAGGGAATATATTATACTGCACAAGATCATAAGTACAACAATTGCAGTTATATGACCAACATAGATTGTGATTATATGACCAACATAGATTGTGATTATATGACCAACATAGATTGTGATTATATGACCAACATAGATTGTGATAATATTTAAACGGGGCCCTTTTTTTCTTCAACGTTTCTTCTAATCACTTTTAGTTGAGCATGTCATTTCTACAAGAAAAATTAACAAACGACGTTCGATTGACGTCAATTACAATCATATATATAGTAAACAAAACCATTTGTGGACAAGTCTCAACAAGTACGTCACCAAATACATTCGTTTTTAGCGACTTTGGACATTCTATTATTTGCACAAAATTGAATACATTAACAGACGCCATAGAAAAAAACTGAATTATTATACTATATATTGACAATGCTTTTTCTGGCATCATACAATTAAGTGTGAAGAAATAAGTATTTCAGAAAATAAAGCTGCAATCTTGGCATTCCTTCTACCTTCAAGTTAACACTGGCTGTGTTAAGGGAATCAGAAACAATTCTCCCTACACAGGACAACCTTGTACTCATCCATTATATGTTTCCTTAACTATATCAGACACTCTGACAACACATTCATGTGTTTACCAAATCAATTCAAAGAGATTAACATGCCATAATTAACTTTGATTCCTTTTTTATATGTTGTAGATAACTCATCTTCGAAGACTTGTCCTATTGAGTTTTCAGCGAAAGGATATAAGCACTTATGGTATTAAATGCTGCACCGATGTTTGTAGCATGTCCAGTGAAGTAAGCACAGGTAGTTAGGGTTAGATTGTAGATTGTATAAAATCGCACCAGAAGGTAGTACGTATACGCAGCAGATCAGGTGACGTATCGGAACCTGAAGGTGGTATCCACTGTCTGGTGAAGAATCGGAACCTGTTAGTAGTATTCCGTATGGCAGATGAAGTATCACACCTTGACGATAGTATTTAGTATCACAGGTAGGTATGATTTTTATTATGTTGGTGAAGTATTTGAACCTGAAGATAGTATCACATACAAGTAAGTCACATACTAAAAGCCAATAGGAAGAAAATGTCACTATTCCCTGAAAAAAGCACCCAGTTTTTTGTCTGGTTTCAGAGATTCAATAATTCCATTGTCAAATATCACAGTAGTTTTGGTGTCATTCTCTGTGTTATTTCTCTATAACTATAAATAAGACATAGTTCAAATTTCTTTGGAGTTGCCCTGTTTAAAGTAGTTTAGTGTCACATATCACATTCTTCGTCATTTCGTGGGGTTCTTCTTATTATTTCTATAAAACGGTGCCCTTATTGTCCTTGAGAGGGGCAGAAACTGGCCCCCAAAGGTCTTCTCCTCCTGGTGACTCTGGCTAATCATCAGTTGTATCTTTGTCGGCACAGTCTCTACAGATAACAATAAACATTTCAAATTAAAAGAACAAACATTTGCACCCACGTTTTCTGCATTTAAGGTATGTGAATAATCATGTCATAGTACTTAACCTTACAAACAATGTCATTTATTGATCTTTATATAATTAAAGAATAAAGTTCATCAACCATAAAAACAAATCAAATTCTTCCTCACAATTTATATATATTTTTTAGCTAGCAGAAACCAATATTGAAAACTATGAAGGAGATTAGAAAAATAAAGTAAATCTTAGACATGCTTGAGTAAAATGATTGAAACTGAATTACAACCAGTTCTCAAATTAGTAAATTATTGAACTTATAACAGGAGAAGTTTAAAATAGAACTTGCATATATATACAACATCGATAAAATTTATCCTTCTTTTTACATAGGACCACAAGTGTATGTATAGTAATTATTGAGAGTTCACAAAAGATGAATTAGCTAAAGCAAAACTGACATTTTGACCCTTATTTGCCACGAAAGCTGTAGCTAGTTAATGCCTCTAGCAAAACTCCAACACCAGCAGGGTGATGACAAATGTCATACTGACTATAATTAACGTCAAAATGTCATACTGACTATAATTAATGTCAAAATGTCCTTCTTAAAAATATAAGGATAAGATAACAGTATGACAAATATGTCGTTTTTACGAACAATAGCAATCAATGACAGGTTATTTGATTTAGCAACTGATCATCATATACAAATGTAGTCAGTTACTGAAAAAGGCTAGAAATATTATCTAAATGTATCATTTATATTTCATGAATAGAAAAGAAACTAACTGAATATATACAATCTACAAGCTGTTTTAATGGAAAAGAAGACGAGTGAAAATATGTTTAAATCTTAGCTGAAAATAGAGAGGAACAGAGTCTGAGGTCAGGTTGAAATATATCTTCCAAGCCACTTCGTGGTACATATAAACCAGACACCATCATACACCATTTCAAACAAGCTGTATACCAACGTAATATTACCAGACCTTTCCCCAACACACATTATTTGCATTGGAAACAAACAAACAATGTAAGATTTTCGAAGTCAAACAGTATTGTTCATCATATAATACCACCTTTTATATAGCAAATACTTCTTTTTTGTTTGCAAGTCTCCATTTCACTTTTAGAAATAAGACGATATTTAGGGAAGACTCCCCCTATCATCAACAAGACAGAACAGGTACACCTTGGAACCTTCTCCTGAGGTCACAGGAGCTGGTGTGTCATAGCTCCATACCATTCCATAAAGACTGAGAGATGTTCATAGGCAATGGTCAATAGCATTAAGCTCGGGACCCAAGTATATCATTACACCACTCAATCATGAAGAGAGTTTTTCAGATTTGTAATATTATTTCCTCTGCATGTTGTGGACACACCACCAGATCAACCTGTGGGGAAACAATCAATTTGGGAAGAACGACCCTGATCATAAGGACACAAGGGTTTTACTTATTTGCTTTAATATATATATAAACCTCAGTGATAAGCAACAAAAAGGGGATATTTGCTATATGTAGTGGTTGAGTATTATTAAATACCATGTATCCAAAACGAAGATCAGTCTGTTTTACAGGTAGATAAAAAAGAACATTCTGAGAAAACTTTGGTAAATAACGTAATTGTACTTTTTTGCAATAATTAAAGAAAGGAAAGAAGAATATGATGGTTCTAATGAAAGACTTTGGTAACAGCTGTAAGCCTTGTCCTGCATAGCATGTCTGTTACTGTTAATAAGTAATGCAGTAAAACTATTGGACATTTCTTATCACATATAGTTGGCTTTGGATTTTCTGAAATCTTTCAGCATAACCTTGTTTATCTAGACATACCAGAAAAGAGTCACCTTTCATGTGTTTGTCTCCCTATTTAAACAACTCCATTGACTAATCAAACAGTCCTAAAGATCGGTCTCGCCGATTGGAAACTAAAAACGTCCTCAATATCAAAATTCTGATGCGATTTCTTTCTTAATTGATCAAATATGAGCCAAGCTAGGATTATCCTAAAACTCATTACTTTCACATAGTTTCTATTGCATGTTTATGTGCGTCAATTGTTTCCTGATCGTCTTTCTCTTATTTATGTACCTGTAAAATATATGAGTTTCAAAAAGAAGAAAAAAAGAGGGTTATATAGAGGTTATTGTACAAATGCATGTAGAAATATTGTACCGGTAGTTTATTTATCTTCTTCCCTGTCAATACAAGAATGTCAAACAAAAACTTTAACATGTTTTTATTTTATTTCATCACTTCAATGTTAACTGTTACCTTAATAATTTCTTTAACAAGTGCAAAATGTATTATAATAAACAATTTAATATTTTCTCCAAATGAATATAGCACTTTATATAAATCCTTAAATCATTTAAAACACATTAAACATTTGAAATTGACATACTTCACAATAAAGCCCCTTTCCTTAATAACATAACAATAAAACATTTTCCATGGAAACATGGAAACAATGTATTTTACCAATCAATCTTTATCTCAAAAAGTAAATGGATTTCACAGCAATTAAAAGGTATGTACTCGTAGTTTATCCAATTCTACCAAGATATCTCAGAATTCTGTTAAATGTACATAACTTTAAACGTGACACTTTTCGTACCATGATTGCACATCAACCAAATTAAATAAAAAGAGCTAAGTTTAATTTTCTAACATGCCTTAAATCCTACTTTTTCCATGATAAATATAATGGGGACTAATTGCCAAGGTTTTCTCATTTTTTTTTTTATTCAGACAAAATAAGTCAATATTGCAATGCTTGTAAAGATATTTGAGGATTCTTAAAACACTTCTATGATCTTAAATTGTCCAAATCAATTATTTGGAAATCTCCATAGCCCTTATATAGCAAATTACAGCAGGTCATCTAGGAATTTTATAGATGTCATTTGAAGTTGACAAATATGAAAAAAAATATTGATAACCAAAGTAACATGAATACGGATCAAGGTAATTTAATTGTTTGCTTTGACGGGCATTATTGAAGCAAGTAACTGGCTAGATTCTAGGTGTTGTGGTTAACTACAAGAATTTGGTTGCAGATTTGACATAATATTATAAACCACATTTAATTGTGAATGTGGATCAATGTAATTCATTTGAACAAACAAGACCTTCTTTGCAGCAAGCTTTGTGAAATAAAAATATCACGAACCAAGGCTGTTTATATCTGAAGAAGTTCATTTGAAGCAAAATATTGATGTCAGATACAAGTGGACAACAAATACCATATCATCATAAAAGTTGAAAGTGATATTTTCCCATGTAAACTTATAACTAAGTTCAGTTTCCAGCACCTTCTGGAAATATCAATTCCTACTGGCAAATCTGCTGTTTCTTTGATATGTTAAACCGCTGTGTCAATCAGATGTAGGTATCACATTGAAGTTGTGAGACACATAAACATTGGTTATGGTACAGGTGATCACCTTTTTAAGGACACATACACATTGGTTATTGTACAGATGATCACCTTTTTAAGGACAAATACACATCGGTTATTGTACAGATGATCACCTTTTTAAGGACACATAAACATTGGTTATGGTACAGATGATCACCTTTTTATAGACACATAAACATTGGTTATAGTACAGATGATCACCTTTTTAAGGACACATAAACATTGGTTATGGTACAGATGATCACCTTTTTAAGGACACATAAACATTGGTTATGGAACAGATGATCACCTTTTTAAGGACATGCACATTGGTTATGGAACAGATAATCACCTTTTTAAGGACGCATAAACACTGACTAAAATGCATTAGACATCAAATCAGTTACCATCGTACAGTAAACCCTCACTGAACATAACAACACTGGCTATGTTACATAACCCTTACATCGGACATAACCACATTGATCACAATACAGATGTCAATGTCCTTTTAATGTTAAATTGGGACCCTTTCACCAAAAAAGCACAAGTTTGGTTAGAAAGAGAGCCTGAATTTTCAAAGTATCCGACGTAGCTCAAAGGTTTTGTTTCCAATGGCTTCATGAAATTCACCAACCTGTCAATTTAGATATCTTAAATCTTAAGATTTCAACTACCATATACTTCTCTCAAACTTTTTAAGATATTTCAATTTCAATTTCTAGCACTTTATACAGAAGCTTGTCTGGCTGGTTTCCAGATTTGCCACTTGATCAGTGTCATTATTGTCTTCTTTGGATAAATATAATCATTATTCATATGTGCATCAGCAATGTTGGATAGTATTAGTAATGGCAGCTTATTATAGATAAAAATATGAAATAAGCGCTTTACAGAGTTTTGGCCAAATATAAAATGAAAATATCCAGGAACTTCATATTATATGTATACAAAGTATACCAAAGAATAGGGTTATCGTACAATATTAAGTAACAAAGACTTTTAAAAGACATGATTATCATACAATGTTAAGCCACAGGTATTTTTAAAGACATGATTATCATACAATATTAAGCCACATGGATTTTTAAAGACATGATTATCATACAATATTAAGCCACATGGATTTTTAAAGACATGATTATCATACAATAGTCAGCCACCAGGTTAAAAGACAGTCAAGCCAGACAGCAGAATAACAAGCCAACTATAGATACCTGAAATGATCGGCCGGAGAAACATCTTACCTACAATTCCCCGGCTACTTTTGGCAGATTTTGCTCGGTTTGTCAGCTACAAACGTGTCATCAAACACAATCAGTGTGGGGAAAATATCATCCAACGGGATAACAAACTTAAAACTTCTCAACTTTGTACATGTAAGGTCACTACATTGTCTTAATCCGGGGGGAAAAGGAATATTTTTGTAAAGTTTAGGCTGATCCAGGGTGATGTGTGTACTTTTTGTTCATAGAACTTTTAAATCACACTCGTGAGTGTTGTCAGAACTTACTGAGATCAGCCTACCAGTAACCTGGAGACAAGACTTGGCAGTTTTCTTTCTTGCTCATGATAATGCTTGTAGAGGACAATATAGGACTAAAATAGTGTAAGTACTTAAATACATTTGGTTGACTTTTGTCTCAGGTCTTATATTTTTTATATATATATATCATTTTTCAGCAACACATTTTGTTTAAATGATATTTTTAGCTTCAACATTCAGTAGAAATAGTTAGATTTATAAATCAATAAAAAAGAAGTCTTGAAATTGCCGAATTCTGTTTAGTTCATATATAATCTAATAAGGTGACAGTGGTGCATGTTAAGTGAAAACTTATTGTTGTAAAACAAGAGGCCCAGTGGACCTGTATCTTTAACTTGCTATTCAGTTCTGTTGACAAAACATATTTCACATCCTTCAAGTCTGGCTAAGGTCACATGTTATTAAACAAATTGATAGCCAGCAAGCTAGTACTTCATACTAAATACCACACTTTACAACTTATGAATCAATGATGAAAGATTGTGATTAATTTTACTTGTGTGATCTTCAAAGTTGCTCAAGTACATTTTTCTGAACAGACTTGATAGCATGCTATCAATGCAAGCTATAAATGTATAGACCAAATATTACTACTTCACCATGTTATATTATAGCCTTGATCTTTGACCTCCAATTACCGTTGCTAATTACCAAACAGTAGTCAGAGAGACCTTAGGTAGACATATGAGTCACTCTGAATGTGTAATCCACCTTGTACAAGATGACCCGACCTTTTGACTTTGTAATAATTCTGTTTACTGCTTGACTTATTGGTATGCATCCTCTAATGTTTCAAGGTCCTACTTTTAGTTCACAATTCTTTTTTAGCGAGTACTCTCTTTACGTTGACCTTTCATCCCCTAATATAAATTAAGTTTACTCTTCACACCATGTGTAGACATTCTGTGAAGTTTTAAGGTCCTAAATATAAAAGTTTTATTTTTGCATTGCAGAATCAATTTTCACAAAGTGAATCACTATGACCTACAGTTAATTCCAAAAAGAGACCAATGTGACCTTTGACCTTTGACCAAGTAATGAATAAGAATCTCCTCCACCAATTGTGCTGTCATTATGTGAAGTTTGAAGAACTTAACTTGAAACAAGGGTACAAATATTTGTCTGTTTTAACTTTCACCCTTGGGTAACCATTTGAATAAGTTTCAATGAATAGCACTAGACTATGCACAAAATGAAATGTCAAAGTATGCTTTTCCATATTTCATAAAAAAAGATACCTTTAAATCTCACTACCTCTTGTTAGTAACACTTTGTATGGTTCCTTAGCAACTCAGGTCATTAATATGATCAAAACCATGTTAAAGATATTATCTTAAATATTGTGCATTGGATGAACTCCAACTTGGCCTAGACTTGAGTCTAAATGAATAAAAATACAGAAAACGAAATTGAGCGATTGACAAATATGTTGCAGTACAGGATCAGATAACTATCCCAGGCTTCTAGTGTAACATGTCTTAGATCAAAACATAACATAGCTTGTTTTTACGATTCAATCACAAAGGTACATTATTCATCCCATAAATTCATTGTTCTGCATTTAAGATATGACTTTATTGTTTATAATTTCCATGTGACACTTTGTAATATGACAGACTGTATTTCCAGACTTATTTTATTTGCTTTCTCATAACATCTATCAAATACAATCCTATTGAGTATGGTAAAAAAAAACACAATGTCATCCATTTTTTCAAGAACTTCTATAAGTCAGAAGGACGAAAAACTGATGTAATATCTACAGGTTAAAGTACAGAAGATTTCTATAAGAATATCTAGCCATGAGGTAAAAAGGAGAGAAGGAAACTGGTGGCATTATCAGTACCAAACCGTCACTTATTTACTACAGGAAACATAGACCAGCACCGTACATGCAGTATAAGTTGAGAAGTTTTATAAAGGACTGTGAATGTATATTAAATTGTGGAATCTGGTGGATTAAAAACAATAAGGTAGAAAGTGGTTTTTAGCAAAAGGTTGAAGTATTATTAGGAATTGATAGAAGAAATTAACAAAATTTCACTGGTACCTGGAGTATTAGGCCCATTTCCCTGAAAATCAGTTTATTAAATGTATTTTGAAGTGTAATTCATTAACGTCGAGTGTACACACCAAGTTCCACTGGGACATGTGACCACAAAAATGTGTCTTTAACCTGGTACAGTAAACACCTTTACAAATCAAATAGATTCTGTAGAATTAAAATTGCTTCATTTCTAGTTCACTGAACTGAAGAAAGTAGAAGATAATAAAATGGTTCAGTTATATCAATGTAATCAATTTTATAAATTCTATAAATTAAATTATTCAAAACAGTTGAATTATTATCATTCTTTTTCTACAAATATAAACAAACTAAATGCTCTTAACTCACACAATATTTGTCACTATAAACTCACACATAATTGCTCATCAACAAAATTCAAAAGATTGCAAATGTGCAATAACACACAAGTCAAAGGATGCACACCCAATACAGAATGTGACAAAATCAAATGATTGTTTTGTACTAAACCTAAATCTGTGTCATTATACTTTCCCATTAATTCTATATGTAGCATCTTTTTGTACCTTACACCTATTTCATCTTATAGTAAATATAAGAGTATATCAATACCCTGTGGGACCCCTATTCAATCCTTTCATGTTCTCCCCTTCCTTCAACATTACACATATACGTATTATATACAACATTATAGCATGCTAGGGGCCCCCAATAGGGTACTGATACATTGATAAGTTGAATAAGGTGTGAAGCTCAAAAAGGATATCACATATGGACCAGTTTAGGAAAGCATTTTTAAAAACAATTTTTTCTCCCAAATTACATGCAGAGATAAAATAAAACATGCTTCTAAAATACATACCTCAAAGTATTTATCACTATTTGGGTATTTGTTTTTCTCCTCTCGACTACTGCTACTGGTGGCACTGCCCACCCTCATTCCACCCTTGCCACACTTGACGAAGCTCTGTCCTGTGTAGCTGCTACATTCAGCCAGTTTGAGTGGTTCTCCCACAGGCTTTCTCCCTCCGTAACTGCTGCCTACCTGAGTACTACTGTGGGATAAACTTACTGATCCGTTTTGTGGGGCTGTAGGCACCTCTGTATAATGCACCTGACTGAGGTCAAAGGTCATATCAGAGAGTTTTTTCTGACCTATGGGAGGTTGAGCATTGTTGTTGCTGTAGTTGTTAACACCACTGTCATTGGACCATTTCTGAACTCTGTCATGAGTTCTATCACTGACAGGATAATTAGTTTTTGTTTCCATGGGGGTCACAATTCGTTGTCGTGAACTTGTTTTTTTCTCACGTGTCACTGAAGTGTCTTGAAGCCATTTGGGGTTTTCATCCGGCAAGTCTAAGCCAAGACCATTATTTTCACGAAGGAGGACCAAGTCTTTATGGTGGCTCCGTGACACTGGCACTTTTTCCGGGACTGGCACAATATTGGAATCACAGATGGGGGATAATTCTCCATTCACTGGAGTGGATCCACTGGAGGCAGACTGAGCACCAGATCGCCTCTTGGCAAGCTTCTTTTCATACTGCAACAGAAAGCATTACTGTACAGAATAAACTATAACACAGACAGGTCAGGAAGGGTTTTACAATGTGCCTGATCATATCTATAACACCGACAGGTCAGGAAGGGTTTTACAATGTGCTTGATCATATCTATAACACCGACGGGTCAGGAAGGGTTTTACAATGTGCCTGATCACATCTATAACACCGACAGGTCAGGAAGGGTTTTACAATGTGCCTGATCATATCTATAACCCTCATAATCAACACGTATTACCTACAGCGATCATTTTAGATTCTGTAATATTAATGATCAGATGTTTATCACATGTAGTTAGACCAGTACCATTTCAACCAAATAGGAACAAGTTAGCCTAAACAGAAGTTATAGCCCAAAAGTTCCAAGCCAACCACAATCAATGGTGGCCATCATCCTAATTGTAACTTACACCTATCTCACCTAATAGTAAATACAGATACTGTGTGTATCACTTAATCTGAACAAAATCATACCAATAGACCAATAGATGTAACTGTATTTGTCTCACCCAATCAGAGGTGATAGACAGTGACCATCTTGGATTATTAAAGTAGGGTATCCATTGGCCATCATATCAACCATGTTCTATTTTAAGTAATGTTGACCTTGACCATTTACCACAAAAATAAACACGAGAGGGTCATTTCTTTTTGACAATACTTCTCCTCTCCTGTACTATTTTTAGTAAGTGACCTTGACCTTAATAGTGTAACCCTGGTTTCTGTGGCTTCAAAAAATGTCTAAAATAACAATTTAAGCTTCCATATTTCCATTCTTCATGATAAAGATAATAGTATCCAGCAATTGTTTTGAAGTATTGTTTAATTTGTGCTGACTATAAGATTAACATTTGGAATATATAATTAAATCAACTACAATAAGCCAAAGATAAAACTCATGGTTCTGACCTATTTAGAATCCACACAAGTTCACTATCAATTTCTGTACAATTCACCTGTTCATTACCATAGATTTAAATATCAGGAAGCACAAGTACTTCCTGTACAACTTACCTCTATATCACTTTTGATTTCATTGGTCAGCTCATCAATGTCATGATCAGTTTCCTTCATGAGACGTTTGATGTAGCGTCTAAATAAAACAAAATAGTAGCAAAAAATTAATGCAATACTTTGTTCCTTTTCAGCTAATAATCTGTTATTTTCAGGCACAGATTGGATGTACAAAACTGATTTTAAATAGATTTTGATTTAATATTAAACTTCCTCGTATTGGTTACAGCATTTTTGTATGTTTTATTGTTCACGCCTTAAAATACTAGAAGTGAAATTTCATGACATCTTAAAGAAAATTTTAAGAACTAACATGTAAAATACACTTTACACAATTCATGCTGGATAAAAACGGTGAAGTACGACTCATCCTACCTGTACCTATCACAAGTAAATCCTAAAATCTCTTTACTCTGTGCCTGTAACAGGTAAATCCTAATATCTCTTTACTCTGTGCCTGTAACAAGTAAATCCTAATATCTCTTTACTCTGTACCTGTCACAGGTAAATCCTAATATCTCTCTACTCTGTACCTGTAACAGGTAAATCCTAATATCTCTTTACTCTGTACCTGTAACAGGTAAATCCTAATATCTCTTTACTCTGTACCTGTAACAGGTAAATCCTAATATCTCTCTACTCTGTACCAGTAACAGGTAAATCCTAATATCTCTTTACTCTGTACCTGTAACAGGCAAATCCTAATATCTCTCTACTCTGTACCTGTAACAGGGAAATCCTAATATCTCTTTACTCTGTACCTGTAACAGGTAAATCTTAATATCTCTCTACTCTGTCCCTGTAACAGGTAAATCCCAATATCTCTCTACTCTGTACCTGTAACAGGGAAATCCTAATATCTCTTTACTCTGTTCCTGTAACAGGTAAATCCCAATATCTCTCTACTCTGTACCTGTAACAGGTACATCCTAATATCTCTTTACTCTGTACCTGCCACAGGTAAACCTGTTTATTCCCCACCTCACAAGCACATAATATGTCAATCAAAGCATTATATACAATCCAATATTGTTTGTAGTATATGAAAATAGTTCAATCAACGTAAAATGTATGATAATGTCTAGAAAAAAATCAGCAAAAAAGCAGCATGCATTGTTCATAAAGTTATACAAATGTATTATCAAAACAGGGAACAACATACTCCTTGTTCCTTTCATCATCAGCTTTTGAAACAGAATCCCCACAGATCATTTAGAAAGTCTGTACCCAAGGGTATGACAATTTCATTACGATTCTATACAAAACCTTGTTTGAGGAGAGACAGATTCAAAACCAATATAGCATTAACTTTAACAGGACTAGACAGTGTTGCTGTAACAAAGAACCCCGTCCCACACCAACACCAGTATAGAACTAACGACAATAGTGTTACTTACAGAATACATTGACACACAGTAACTAAGTACCTCAGAGCCTCAATCACTGCAAGCTTCACAATTAGCTATTAATAGACATAATCTTTGAACTTATCTTAGCTTCCAAATAAATAAGATATTGGATGATAATCAGATATAATCTAGACACCTACATGTTTTTAGTACATGTATAATACAATAAAAAATCATGTATAATACAATTTTTGGAATTCATTTAATGTAAACATTCATTCAGTAATGAAAATTTCCTGTTTTGTTGAGCCGGAAGAAAAATATGACTTATTATTTATACCTGACCCAACAGAATAATAGATGAATCCATATTCACATAAGGTTGCTGAATGAGATGTTAAATTAAAATGATGACAACTTTTGTTTTACATTCTGCAAAACCATCATACTAGTATCCCAAAGCCATCACCCTTGATATTAGGTAGATTAATCTGATCAGCTTCTATACCTGTAGGTCAGGCCACAACAAAGTCATTAATAATGCAAGCAAGTTAGGATGCACATGCATGCATTGTATCTTTGTCAATCCATGGTCGGCTTTGTTTTTTCTAATCACTAGAAAGCATTTAAAATAATAAACTTGGCAAATTTTTGTTAAAATTTATTTTCAAAATAACAATTCACATAAAACTTTAATTGACTCCAATTCCCATACACCAAACGTTTTATTTTGATTACTGACACTTTGCTGAAACCTACAACTAGTTTTCAAATATCAAAACCAATGCTCTACTGCAGTATATCTATCTACATGTCCATTGACAATCTAACACAGGGGATTACAGCTCTACTTAATTCTCAATTACCACAAAAAGCAGTCAGGTTTAATTTGGTTATCGAGATCATTAGACGTAGAATTAGTCTATGAGAGAGTTGATCTAGTGTGCTTCAAACATTTAACTTCCAAGTGTATATCAACCAGAAATAAATATATGTAAACAATGCTCAAATCTGTCCATCGGATCATAATTGACTGATTTTGCAATTAAAAGTTGTGTTCTGTTGTTTCATAACCATATTATATTGCCGCGCGATGTCGATGATGATCATGTGACAATCACATGCCTTACCAAGTGTGCAGTAAAGGTAGCTTGTACAGAAACAATAACAAACTAAAACACAGAATCTTCCATCTGTTAAATATTAACAATATGTATTTCAACGAAAACAGTGTACAGTGTACACGTTACAAATAAAGGATTCGTCGTCAGTCTATTGTGACAATAACGTTAACATTGAACCGATTTCCCCCACAATGCGGTCAGTGAAAGTAAGGCCAGATTGTGATATTTTCTGCATGATGTGTCCAGGTAACCATGAATATGCATGATTGTTTTTTGTAACAGAATTTGTGCCAGAAAATGTCGGTAATCATTTCCATTTACACATGTAACAGTCCTATAGTGAATTCTAAATAGCTATAAGCTTCTGCACTTGTTTTGTTTAAATAAAATATAAAGTGGGTTCCACCGTGTGTATTATCAGGAACAGTAGGGTGTTTTACTCTACCAGGACCAGTAGCTATAGGTTGAATGTGTTGTGGTAACCTTTACTCCTGTGTGATATACTCTACCAGGACCAGTAGCTATAGGCTGAATGTGTTGAGGTAACCTTTACGCCTGTGTGATATACTCTACCAGGATTAGTAGCTACAGGTTGAATGTGTTGAGGTAACCTTTACTCCTGTGTGATATACTCTACCAGGACCAATAGCTACAGGTTGAATGTGTTGAGATAACCTTTACTCCTGTGTGATATACTCTACCAGGACCAGTAGCTATAGGCTGAATGTGTTGAGGTAACCTTTACTCCTGTGTGATATACTCTACAAGGACCAGTAGCTATAGGTTGAATGTGTTGAGGTAACCTTTAATCCTGTGTGATATACTCTACCAGGATTAGTAGCTACAGGTTGAATGTGTTGAGATAACATTTACTCCTGTGTGATATACTCTACCAGGATTAGTAGCTACAGGTTGAATGTGTTGTGGTAACCTTTACTCCTGTGTGATATACTCTACCAGGACTAGTAGCTACAGGTTGAATGTGTTGAGATAACCTTTACCCCTGTGTGATATACTCTACCAGGACCAGTAGCTATAGGTTGAATGTTTTGAGGTAACCTTTACTCCTGTGTGATATACTCTACCAGTACCAGTAGCTACAGGTTGAATGTGTTGAGGTAACCTTTACTCCTGTGTGATATACTCTACCAGTACCAGTAGCTACAGGTTGAATGTGTTGAGGTAACCTTTATTCCTGTATGATATACACTTGGATGCTAACAGCGCAGTACTGTTATAGTAAATATTACTACATTAGAGATCTCTGTTTTAACAACACAATCTACCTCGAGAATGGAAACTTGTCCGGAACCCTGTGTTTATAATAAAAGTGTGAAAGGAGAGAGAATATAGTGTAATGTCCGCATTAAATAGAACTCAACAAGTCAATCCAGCACACCTTGCCATATCATTTAGGTATCAGTATATAATGGCTCCGGAGAACTTACCTTGCTAGCCTGACAACAGAAATAAGGACATAGCTGTTATATCTACTGTCCAGTGTCACCTCATAAACTTATTATTTACAGTCAATTTAAATCTATATCATCATACATATAATTGACCGATTTGTATCAGAATACTTCAACAGTTAAACCTGTTGTATTATTTTTGTATGCCATCTTTAAAGGGAATGTATAGAACAAGTCAGGTTATCTTTTTCACACTATCCATGTGAACTATCTGACATCAATATCACTTGTAAATGTGATTATTTGATAATTAAAACTTCATCTGAAGCCTTGTATCCAGTACTGAATACAAATACAGGGTAAGACTTCTATAAAATAGCTTTCACATGAACATAAACAGTCGAATGTATTAATAATAAACTGTCACAATACTTTACTTGTACTTTGTGTTATCACAAATGTTTGAATATTTGACTGAGATTTGATTAAACAATATTTAATCCTGAATAATAACTGTGATTCAGAAAAATGCATGCAGGTGCAGAAATGTGTATATATATGAGCATATAGCAATACTCTTGGCTCTGGTAAAACAGCGTCATCACAACAACAGCTTGTCTGATCTCAAAAAGCAGCTTAGACATATGGTGTCTACGGTATGACAATGAGCATTGACTTGTTGGCCCAGCTAGCCAGAGCTGGTGACAGGTCTTCCTGTAGTATAACACTTACAACCTACCACACACATTTACTGGTGACAGTTCTTCCTTTAGTGTAACACTTACAACCTACCACACACATTTACTGGTGACAGTTTTCCTGTAGTGTAACACTTACAACCTACCACAAACATTTACTGGTGACAGTTCTTCCTGTAGTATAACACTTACAACCTACCACACACATTTACTGGTGACAGTTCTTCCTGTAGCATAACACTTACAACCTACCACACACATTTACTGGTGACAGTTCTGTTTGTAGATAACACCCACAAAGCATTGCAACTGTAATGTTCTATGTAGATTTTGGTACTTCCTTCCCTATTTTGGGTATTCCCTTTTCTTGCATCTGGTCGACTGTACAAGATTTAGAGTACAATTTCCCAAAAATGATATGTGGTAAGGAAAGAGTTCTTTCTTTTGAAACAAGTATATTTTTGATGCAAATTTTTGCCTTTTGAGAATCTAATGAGATGTAAAAATTGCAAATAATTAAAACTAAGAAATAATAATCCGGTGGTAGTAGGTCATTAATCAAGTCCAGAAGTTCCTTTATGTGAGCCGCCCACCTTGTCTGTCCAAAACCTCTCTACATACAGTGTATATAATAACAACATCTATTACTAACCTGTTTATAGATTCTCGCTGTAAGACAATGTGGACTAGCCAGGCTGCGATAATGATGAAACTAAGCTATTGGCCAACGTTAGCAGTATATACTGTGTGGTGGGATTATTGGTCCCGACGTGTGGTACCTACCCTGCTGTTGGACTGAGGTTCTGCTGTATGGCGGTGGTAGCAAGTGACTGCCTGAGCTCCTTGATGCTCTCTATTGCACTGTCCACCTCCTCTGTAGACTGGGCTGACTTGACCCTTGGCTCCTTCCGCGTGTGGGGGTCAGTCACATAATCTGGCCCCTCTATACCTGCACCGTGATCCTCGTCAGACTCTCGCATACCTATAGACAGGCAATCATATACCTTTAAATATCGTACATATAATACAACCTCCAGCTAGGATCACAAACTCTATGATAGCTAGTCCTCACACCATGTAATTGAAATCTAATGGTGTCAGAAGTTCACTCTTTCCTTTCATTAAATTTGAAAAATAACAGTACAATATGTGGAGAATAAAGTAAGGTCATGATTTTCTAAATCCAACACTCAATAATAAATTAATTTATGAAAATTCACAAAGGGATCAAGGGGCCTTAATGCTCACATCAGATTCATGGACCTTGCAGAAACATTTGTTTCAAGCTGCAAGTTAATCATATATGTTCTAAAGAGGAAGTACAAAAACATCAGCCAATCAGATATCCTGGCATCCATCTTAGATTCTTCCATCCATACAAAATGGAGAATTTTAGCTGTAACCTTATGAAGAAGCTGCGTACAGAGTTACGAGTCAATCTCTGCAGCCTTCCCGAGAAGTTGAAAATGTCTCAGCAAATCAGAGGCAATGGTAGCCATATTGGATATTCAGATCAGTGCAAAAAATAACAACACTTCATCAGGACCATTAGCAATAAGTTTGAAGTCCATGGCTTCATACATTCTACAGAAGTTAAAAATGTGTGAGCAAACCAGTGACGCTGATAGATAATATTGAGGGTGTACATACATGTAGTACAAGTTTTGCTAAACCTGAAAAAGGGGTTTATTATCTTTGGTACAGAATAGAAGTTTTCTGTCGCAATGAACTTGCCAATCATATGTGAAAGAAAGAAATGAAAAGGGAGTGGGAACTCACACAGCTGCACCCTCCACCTCCTCAAAGTGGTCAGGTGTGACCTTTGACCCTTAAACCTTGACAGTTGATATATCAATACCAAAACAAAAGAATGTCAAAATACTCCCGACAGATAGTCTTATAGTTGTTACATATATTCATGACCATGATTTTGTTTTTAGAATTTCTTATTAACTTTATGATCTGTATAAGTTGATGTCATAGTATCATGGTGTACATACAAACAAATCTGCTGAGGGTTTACAAGATACCTGTACACAAACTTTCATTTTCAAAAGTGGACAGAGGTGACTCCTTCTAGTGACTTAATTTGCATGAGATATCTTGTTTAGAATTTATTTTTTTGTCACATGCATGCTTGGACAGAGCAATACCCCCTCCACTAAGTAAGGGGTATAATGAATTAAAACCAGCTAGTTGTTATTCCTTAGAAACTAAGAAACAGAAATTAGCATATATCATAAATGACATGGAGGATGATGGACTTGGATGTTGGTAAACAGATGATACATGCAAGTGTTTGTAACAGGACCACTGCTGCATCTGTCAGTGTTAACATGCAGTGTGTGATTGATAGGAGTTAAGATTGATGGAGGCCTATACAATAAATATACAAGAATCCATGGAAGTGGATGTGTCGCCTGCGCAGGAAGCTGGGAGATTACGAAGAAATAGATCCACTTTTCATTTCAAGAAATAATGTTAAAAGTAAGCAATAATAATAGATTATGATTTTGGATGCCTGCAGGCTTCATTAGATTATATAATCTGTTATTCTGGGAAGAATACTCTGAGTTTTAAGGAACTTGCTATCTATTTATAGTAACAGTGACCTTGACCTTTGACGTTCGGAACTGAAAAGCAATCCCAAGCAAGCACTTTTGGTAAGGAAGCACTGCATGAAGTTTGAGTTTGATCGGCCCAAGGAAACTCAAGTTATCACACGAAAACCTCTGCGGACGCTGCCGCCGCCATAGCAATACCTATGTGTCGCCAGCTTTTCGCAGGCGACACAAAAACTAGTTAGGATACATTACATTACAGGACAAGTGTTTGTAACGAGACCACTGCTGCATCTGTCAGCGTTAACATGCCGTCTGTGATTGAGAGGAGTTAAGATTGATGGAGGTATACACTAATTATAACTAGTACGGATACATTACTGTACAGGACAAGTGTTTGTAACGAGACCACTGCTGCATCTGTCAGCGTTAACATGCAGTGTGTGATTGAGAGGAGTTAAGATTGATGGAGGTATACACTAATTATAACTAGTACGGATACAAGTGCTGTACACGTTACCAAACACTGATGGAGATTACTTACAGTAGTACTCAAGTGACATTAGTAAAAGTGACAGTGGGTACATATGATAAAGTCTGAGTCATTCAGGTGACAGTTAACAACACAAGTGATATGAAGCTCTTGTGTCTTTAGTTGATAAACATTAGTTCTATGACAGTGAACACACTTTCACTTTGTTTCCATGTGTCTTTGTAAACGTCGTGGTTAAACTGACGATATCGGTAACCCCTTCTCTCCTGTTTGGCACTTTTACTTGAGGTGTCATTAGGGACTAAAATTTGAACAAAATCACAATAGCGATGTATCATATTATCATCTTTACAACAAGATTTACTCGAAACATCTTTAATGCACATATAAGAAGTTTAATTGTGAAAATAAATAAAAATACAAACTTTTTTGAACTGAAGGTATAACCTTAGGGATTTGTTCTAACGGTTGCTCAGATTCTTAACCTAGACACTACAGATAATTTTGATATATCAGGTTTTAATTTTGTTTCCTATTGGTTCCTAATCCACAACATTATACTTCATGGAACATCGGTTGAAAAAATATATAGCTTTAAGCATGCCAACACAATTACATGTACCAAAAACCTTGCCAGGCAAATATCAAATTCTGCTTCATGAAATTAAGTAATCCAATAAAATGAAAATAATGACAAATCAAAACAAAAATAAAATGAAAAGTGACAGAAGACAGTGATGGATGACTGGTATGGGTATGTATACCTACCCATCCGACTCTTTCTGCCTCCTTTTTCTTTATGTTTCCCTTTATGCTTCTTACTTTCTTTTGATTCATCTGAAAAGTAATACATGGAGGCACTCTGTAAATAATCAGAGACTTGTGTGTACATGTGGGCAGTATACTGAAAGAATCCTGGGCCGAGATCCACAAACCACTCACATACATGGCACAAGTACTACAGGCGATTGTACTTGAAAAGTTTTGTTTTTGTGAAAACCGTCACCTGTTACCGAGATGTTATATAAGATAATCATAACTCATGAAGGAGAGCTTGCGGCAATGACTACCAGTATAATTATTTGACATACCTGCCAGAGAAGGAAAGAAACAAACAGTAAGTACGATTAAATACTGATATAGGAAAAGTGTGACCAACCCTTCACCAGTCATTGTAGATACTGACATCACCTAGTGAGAAACACTGATGTGTCTAGCTTTGTAGACTATACACTGCCAATCATGTTCACTGTTTTATAGACTTATACACTGCCAATCATATTCACTGTTTTATAGACTTATACACTGCCAATCATGTTCACTGTTTTATAGACTTATACACTGCCAATCATGTTCACTGTTTTATATACTTATACACTGCCAATCATGTTCCCTGTTTTATAGAATTATACACTGCCAATCATGTTCACTGTTTTATAGACTTATACACTGCCAATCATGTTTACTGTTTTATATACTGTTTTATAGAATTATACACTGCCAATCGTGTTCACTGTTTTATAGAATTATACACTGCCAATCATGTTCACTGTTATATAGAATTATACACTGCCAATCATGTTAACTGTTTTATAGAATTATACACTGCCAATCATGTTCACTGTTTTATAGACTTATACACTGCCAATCATGTCCACTGTTTTATAGACTTCTACACTGCCAATCATGTTCACTGTTTTATAGGATTATACACTGCCAATCATGTTCACTGTTTTATAGACTTATACTCTGCCAATCATGTTCACTGTTTTATAGACTTATACACTGCCAATCATGTTCACTGTTTTATAGACTTATACACTGCTAATCGTGTTCACTGTTTTATAGACTTATACACTGCCAATCATGTTCACTGTTTTATAGACTTATACACTGCCAATCATGTTTACTGTTATATAGAATTATACACTGCCAATCATGTTCACTGTTTTATAGACTTATACACTGCCAATCATGTTCACTGTTTTATAGAATTATACACTGCCAATCGTGTTCCCTGTTTTATAGAATTATACACTGCCAATCATGTTCACTGTTTTATAGAAATATACACTGCCAATCATGTTCACTGTTTTATAGATTTATACACTGCCAATCGTGTTCAATGTTTTATAGACTTAAACACTGCCAATCATGTTCACTGTTTTATAGACTTATACACTGCCAATCATGTTCACTGTTTTATAGACTTATACACTGCCAATCATGTTCACTGTTTTAACTTAATGTTAATGCAGTTTCCTCACTGGATATGATTTTAGAAATTGCACCCTTTTGATAATGATTTTGAAAATTCAATTTGAAAAATCTTTCCTGTCAGGTTTAGTATATAGTTTGTTCACTATTTTTGCTTTTTCACATGTACAATCAGTCGGGAAATTCACATAAACAATATTTTGTCAAACTAAACAGATATCTTAAATAATTAATTGACAGTGTATGACCACGAATTTTAATAAATTTGAAATGGAAAGAAAAAGAAAGTGAAAATCAATAGAGTATACATTACAAAATGTTAGAAAATAATACATGTCCTTTTAGAAGTTTTTTTGACCTTTTCCTTCAGGTAGCTTCAACACTTAGCAACCATTTTTGTTTGCAAAACAGGCTCAGGGTAACCTAATATCCCCGTTGGTTACCGAGGTGGACCCTTAGTAACGTACCGTCCTGGTTGTCCAATGAGAGAGGCTCCAGTTTCTCTACCTCCATCAGCAGGACCTCCTTAGACTCCCCCTGTGGTTCCTCTGTTTGCGCCTTCGCTGAATGGTACTGATCATAATTTACGAAAGTGGCAGAAGGCACCTGAGTTCGAGGTCGACCAGATTTACTGGCTGAAATAGGACCAGGAAGTAACAGGTAGGATTACAAGTACAGAGATAGGATAGTAGGACTGTATTTAGGGACTTCACCTCACATAGATCTCTATAACAACAGTACTAGTGTACCACCAAATGTCATTTCTTTTGGCTGTCCTTATTGAAGGTTTTTGATAATAGTCTTTATCAATCAATATAAATCAGAACGAATATAAGGTATTGCCAGAAACACAGCCATGAGAATCATCAAGGAGTTAGTTCCTACTGGCCACAATACCATCGCCACTTGTCAAGTTTGTGATGAACTACAGTAGGAGAGCAATACAAATCAGTAATTTATATCAACAAAACTATCACACCAGCTATGGTTCTAAACATTAAAGAATGTATATGCTTGCATAATAAATTAGATTTGCAAAGAGAAAAAATGCAAATATAAGAAATGTCTATAGATATGACCTTGACTTTTGGAATAAGCATCAAAACAGATATATCTGAATGTTTTAAATGTTTTTGTGTACAAAATAACCGCAACAGATAAAGTGTGATAAAAAATGTTTAAAAAATTAACATAACCTGATGGTGAGTCTTAGACCAGTAGGCCAAACTTGTCTTATCTGGTGACAGATCAAACATTCACTGTCAGAGAATAGTCCGACAATAGGTGTTCAGCAATCGTAAGACAAGTTTCACAAAGAGTTATTTATCACAAAAAAAAACAGGTTGATCAATGATTTTTGAGGTTTAGTTAAGATATCATAGACAGATAGTATTGAACTGAACTGATCCATTGTCCATACTTGCCAAGTATTTGAAGCTGGACTTGATTTTTCACCCACATTATATTTTTTAAAGATTTAAAATCATCAGAAATCTGTTCATCCTGCTTTTTTCACAAATAAAAATAAACAATTGTACAAACAACAGGCACTGATATTACAGGTACTCTGTGTACTTTATAGATATTGCCCTGTGGTTTAGTTGACTGAGTTAATTTCTGAAGTAAGGTACTTTTAATTGGCTTCAGTTAACTGTGTTACATTGTGACCAGGTACGATACATTAACTATGTTAGCATTACGTAGAAATTGTGTTGTTACATATATCATTAGTTTAAAGCAAGCAAAATTTGAAGAAACTTAAAAACAAAATACCTGGAATACTTATAAGAAAGTCTTTATAGTGCATTTCTTATTGAAGTTCTCAGACTCCTTATGTGAAAGCTAAAGGCTCCAATGTTAACCCCTAACTTATAGTAACTACACGCTACATCTGAGAGTGGTATCTATGGAAATGAGGCTTATACTGTGAGATCACTAGCTATATAATACAAAAATCATTATTATTATGATTAATCTCATCTCAGAACTTTATATCTGAATCAGCACAATATTATAGAATCAAACGAGCCTGCTCAGGATTATATTCCTTTAGTACATGTATGTTGTAATTTTCAATATCTTCACTTGTAGCTCATATGAAATATATCTTTGCTTACAAAATCTCTGAAATAAGTTAATGTGGCACCTCAATACAGACATTATTATATTACACATAAACTAGTAAGCCATTATTTATCAAATTGATGTAGATAATAAAACAAGGAAAACCACTCAATTACAAAAAGTACAGAGAGAAAAAATATGAATTAAGTTTTAGATAAAAAAAACCATTTCTATACAAATACTTTTACCGTTCATAAATAACTTCTTTTCATTTATATAAATTAAAATGTGTATGTTGACCATTTGTCTAGTTCGAGACCATGCAGCTAGAGTAATTTTGACTAATCAGATACTACTGTATGTCTAACATTAAATTGACCAATCAGGTACTGGATCTGTAGCAGAATTGACCAATAAGGTCACAGGTCTGTAGTAGACCAATCAGGTCCAGGGAGTCTGTGTGACAGTATGTCTTACCATCACAAACAGTTATGGGAGGTTTGGATGTGTGCTGATCGTCAAAGGGATTGGGGTGCATCCGAATGACATTATTACCTGATCTGTTCTCCTGCAAGTATACAAAACCAGAGGCATATATAAGTAAGGTGTACGCATACGGATTCACAAAATTTACAACATAAAAGACACGGAAAACATTGCAAATTATCACTTATATTTCAAACATTATCATTATATTGGGGTACAGTTCATTTTCTAGACCAATGAATTTCAAAAAACCTACACAATCTATTATCTAACATATATTTTAATAACCCTACAAAACCCAATATCTCAGTTCAGTGAATTACAACAACCCTATACAATCTATTATCTAACATAATTTCAATAACCCTACAAAACCCAATATCTCAGTTCAGTGAATTACAATAACCCTATACAATCTATTATCTAACATAAATTTCAATAATTTTTGTAATGTCAGGTTTGCACCTATATTCTACACAAACACATTTGTTTGCAAATGTATATAAACACGTACAAAATGGAGTACATAATTCCCCGATCGGACGTGAAAAGCAGCTATGGGGTCACCTGCCCGACCACCGGGGTTTTCTCCGGGTACTTAGGTTTCCTCCCACAATACCACCCCCACGCGCTAACATCCGGGCCAACAAGAGTGATTAATATAAGTTGAAATAACTTGTTTCATAATTGTTGTAAAATAAATAAAGTTTATGTATCTAGTACATAATTGCAAAACAATCAATTTTCAGTACTTCAAAGCAGTCAAGTAAAAACTTTAACAAATTCTGCGAAATTATTTTGAATTAAGTGAATTCTGCGAAGCTGTTCTGTTAAGATGAAGGGAAACACTGCATCAGTTATTATCATGCTGTTTCAGACTGGGCACATTCTCCCTTAAATGTAGAAAATGAAGCAACCAAAAACAGTTTTCTGGGATGAGTGTATACATCTTGTCATGCCCTGCCAGCAGCTATACAGTAACAGGGTGAAGGACAATATCAGGGGAGACATGATTGAACTTTTTAAAATGATGACAGGGAAATAGGATCCTGAAGTGTCCACGTTTATGTCACCAAAGAAGAACAATACTGTTACAAGGGGTCATGAGTATAAACTATTCAAGAATAGAACATGCCTAAACATGAGAAAGAATTCATTTTGTCACGGAACTTTTGACATCTGGAACAGCCTGTCACCAGAGATGATGTTATTAAGAACTATCAAATCTTTTGAGTCTTGCCTAGACCATCACTGGAGAAAACAAACGATACTCTAAAATTATAGAGAACCAATTTTATTATCCACCCAAAGTTAGTATATATGAACTGAATGTACTTTCTGATAATTATTTATCAAATTAATGCTGTAAACACTAATTACTCCAATTTGGAATTTATGTATAATTTACTTTTTCACCTCAACAATTAATGATTAATGTTTTTCAAATGCCCATGCTCTTGTCAGAATTTGTTTAAACCATATTGAGCTGACAGCAGAGGATTTTCTGTAAGTCCTACAGTCAGAATAAAATCTGTGTATCTGTGTATAAAAGCCTATACACATTTCTAAGTTATGACCACTGATGAGTCCTTAGGAACCCTTTCACCACTATGTAACTTTAGTAGACTCTACCATGCATTGAGCTGTATGAGTCTATTATGGTCTACAGTGGTGAAAGGGTTAAAGGCTGGCAGGATGCTAGGACAATGAAACATACAAATGTTGTGTCTTGTCATGCCCAGTAGCTATATATGGTTGTAGGATGGTGATCTCAACTGTTTCAATTTTATGACTCAGTTACTAAGTTCCCAAGGGCAGGTCCAGACCCCTGAGAACATCTCAGGTAGCATGAATGTATTCATCTCTTCATGCCAAGTAATTGTATATATGGATATTCTTGACTGTCTCCACATAACAACTCAGGGCCCACTTGTATAAAACATCTCAACTCTTGAGATTTCCTCAAGTCTAAGATTTCCCATAGACAATATATTGCTTGAGATTTTCCTTAACTTTGAGATGTTTTATACAAGTGGGCCCAGGGACTTAACTGCCAGGGGCAAGGTCTTCATGTTCACAGTTACATTGATCTACTCACTTTAAATTTGATATTTCTACCTACTGTTAATCTGATACATGTATCTTGCTCGTCATGCAGATCGACCTTGATGATTTTCATCTAAACACCATGCACATTTGACTGCAGTATATTTGTTTTTATTGACTCTATATCTGATTTTAGAATCACTAAACCAGTTCTAGCGCTATTCTACAGTATCAATACAGGGTTTCATCTAAGGGTCATGCAAACCTAGATAATTTAATCATGGATCTTCTTGTACTCCTGTTCATACTAAATTCAGGAAAAATTCTCAGGGGAGACAAATCACTAGAAAATTAACAATTATAAACATTTCTGTATCAATTTAATTAAATAACATAATAAACAAAAATAAAATTGTTAAATCTTAACTCCAACGCAAGTCAAACAAATAAACACAGTCTAGATCTACATAAAGATTTACCAGGATGTGCAAGACTAGCCTGCTGGGAAAGTTCTGGGCTGGCGTCACACTAAATAGCCATACCAACCACCACACAGTGTTCTACACTACACATCCAGGATAAGCACCTCTATCTGTGTAATCTAAATTAGCTCTCAGTCCAAATCTCAAGGACATACATACGCTCATCACAAAAATGTAACACAAGTCTAGATTAGGCAAAGTCTGTAGAACACAAACAAAAATGCTGACAATGTCGAAAAGGAAACAACACAAACATTATTAGCAACAAAAACACAAATTAACAAATTACTGGAGTATGACTTTTGCCTAGCGTGGATGTTACAATACGGTTATGAATCTGACATTAATTAATTTCTTTTTTCCCTGTATAACAATTATGCAAGCATAAGCCAGAGTTAATCAATTTTCAGAATGTTTTTAAACATTTAGCTTTTTCAGGTAAAGAGAACTCAGGTTATATTTCAAGATAGATTTTAAATTATAAAATGATTAAAGACATACCAACAGCTGTTGTAATTTAATCAATTTTTCCAAAAACTATAAATCTAAATTTTTGATCAAATCTTGATAGAAACATATTGTACTTTATATAAATCTAGGAATATCTTGAACAATCCAAGCTTATGTTCAGCTATTGCTTTTCCATTAAAATGTTTACAGTGTCATTCCCTCTATTTTTCTGAACTTTTTGAAACATGTACCAGGTATTTATTCCATCTGTTTCAAGCTCCTTTTCAGTTTAAAGGTTTATTAGTTAGGATGAAGAGTAGTGATGTGCTGACATCCAGAGTCATTCCCCTTTGTATAAGTTACATGTAATCTACCTTTCTAGTTTCTAAAGAAAATTGTGATTGAGGAATAGCATGAGATAGGGTGCAGGACAGATTTATTGTTCAGGAGTTCCTTATTCTCAAAAGTAATGAGAAATTAATTGATCGTTTTACAAGGATTAAGTACACTGCCTTTAGAATTTATTATATTAAGATGTAACTATCAGTCAATTTTTGCAAATCAAAAACAATACCCATATGGTAATGGTAATTAATTAGAACCTGAAACATACTAAAAACCAGTACAAAAGATAAGGAAAATAGGACACTTGCCAAGTTCCCATATTTCATTCATATTGAGTTAGTCATGGAACAGACCAGCATAAGCTGTGGCATTTTACACTTTTTTAAAATAAAAGTCAATGTAAATTCAGTTTTAGACATTTGAGATTTTGCCACATCTTTTTCCACATAAAAAATTGATACACTGGCAAGTATGAAACAGAAATTGAGTTTGTAAGAGAAAACTAATAATGTCTGCATGATCATGATAGTATGAATAACTAACATAAACCGTTAAACAAACTTCACTTATCAACATCTGAAATGGATTTCAAAACAAAGACATCATCACACTAAATAAAACAGCAAAATATTGACATAGAACTCCAATGAGAAAGCATACGTAGAGTTATCTAATAGATCATTAAACACATTTCTGTTCTGGTATATCCCCCACTTATAGTGAGTGGTATCGGATTCAATAGGTATCGGATTAAGATGAAAGTTTAAAAAAAAAACATTACTTGTAGGGAACATGACTGACATTAATGTACAGAAAAGACTACACAACACCAAACCAGATCACTAGATTAACATTCACAGGTGTCACTAGTTTAACAGTCACAGGAGTCACTTAGTTTAACATTCACAGGAGTCACTAGTTTAACATTCACAGGAGTCCCTAGTTTAACATTAACAGGAGTCGCTAGTTTAACATTCACAGGAGTCGCTTGTTTAACATTCACAGGAGTCACTTAAGTTTAACATTCACAGGAGTCGCTAGTTTACCATTCACAAGAGTCACTAGTTTAACATTCACAGGAGTCGCCAGTTTAACATTCACAAGAGTCACTAGTTTAACATTCACAGGAGTCAATAGTTTAACATTCACAGGAGTCGCTAGTTTGACATTCACAAGAGTCACTAGTTTAACATTCACAGGAGTCGCTTGTTTAACATTCACAGGAGTCACTAGTTTAACAGTCACAGGAGTCCCTAGTTTAACATTCACAGGAGTCACTAGTTTCACATTCACAGGAGTCACTAGTTTAACATTCACAGAAGTCGCTAGTTTAACATTCACAGGAGTCACTAATTTAACATTCGCAGGAGTCACTAGTTTAACATTCACAGGATTCACTAGTTTAACATTCACAGGAGTCCTTAGTTTAACAGTCACAGGAGTCACTAGTTTAACATTCACAGGATTCGCTAGTTTAACATTCACAGGAGTCACTAGATTAACATTCACATGAGTCGCTAGTTTAACATTCACAGGAGTCGCTTGTTTAACATTCACAGGAGTCACTAGTTTAACAGTCACAGGAGTCGCTAGTTTAACATTCACAGGAGTCCCTAGTTTAACATTAACAGGAGTCGCTAGTTTAACATTCACAGGAGTCACTTAGTTTAACAGTCACAGGAGTCACTAGTTTAAAATTCACAGGAGTCACTAGTTTAACAGTCACAGGAGTCCCTAGTTTAACATTCACAGGAGTCACTTAGTTTAACATTCACAGGAGTCACTAGTTTCACATTCACAGGAGTCACTAGTTTAACATTCACAGAAGTCGCTAGTTTAACATTCACAGGAGTCACTTAGTTTAACATTCACAGGTGTCACTAGTTTAACATTCACAGGAGTCACTTAGTTTAACATTCACAGGAGTCACTAGATTAACATTCACCTGAGTCGCTAGTTTAACATTCACAGGAGGCCTTAGTTTAACATTCACAGGAGTCGCTAGTTTCACATTCACAAGAGTCACTAGTTTAACATTGACAGGAGTCGCTAGTTTAACATTCACAGGAGTCCTTAGTTTAACATTCCCAGTAGTCACTAGTTTAACATTCACAGGAGTCGCTTGTTTAACATTCACAGGAGTCACTAGTTTAACATTCACAAGAGTCAATAGTTTAACATTCACAGGAGTCGCTAGTTTACCATTCACAAGAGTCACTAGTTTAACATTCACAGGAGTCTCTAGTTTAACATTCACAGGAGTCGCTAGTTTCACATTCACAAGAGTCACTAGTTTAACATTGACAGGAGTCGCTAGTTTAACATTCACAGGAGTCGCTTGTTTAACATTCACAGGAGTCACTAGTTTAACATTCACAAGAGTCAATAGTTTAACATTCACAGGAGTCGCTAGTTTACCATTCACAAGAGTCACTAGTTTAACATTCACAGGAGTCGCTAGTTTCACATTCACAAGAGTCACTAGTTTAACATTGACAGGAGTCGCTAGTTTAACATTCACAGGAGTCCCTAGTTTAACATTCACAGGAGTCACTAGTTTAACATTCACAAGAGTCACTAGGTTAACATTCACAGGAGTCGCTAGTTTAACATGCACAGGAGTCACTAATTTAACATTCGCAGGAGTCACTAGTTTAACATTCACAGGAGTCTCTAGTTTAACATTCACAGGAGTCGCTAGTTTGACATTCACAAGAGTCACTAGTTTAACATTCACAGGAGTCGCTAGTTTCACATTCACAAGAGTCACTAGTTTAACATTGACAGGAGTCGCTAGTTTAACATTCACAGGAGTCCCTAGTTTAACATTAACAGGAGTCGCTAGTTTAACATTAACAGGAGTCACTAGTTTAACATTCACAGGAGTCACTAGTTGAACATTCACAGGAGTCCTTAGTTTAACATTAACAGGAGTCGCTAGTTTAACATTAACAGGAGACGCTAGTTTAACATTCACAGGAGTCCTTAGTTTAACATTCCCAGTAGTCACTAGTTTAACATTCACAGGAGTCGCCAGTTTAACATTCACAGGAGTCGCTAGTTTAACATTAACAGGAGTCGCTAGTTTAACATTCACAGGAGTCGCTAGTTTAACATTCACAGGAGTCACTAGTTTGACATTCACAGGAGTCACTAGTTTAACATTCACAAGAGTCACTAGTTTAACATTCACAGGAGTCGCTAGTTTAACATTCACAGGAGTCACTAGTTTAACATTCACAGGAGTCACTAGTTTAACATTCACAGGAGTCGCTAGTTTAACATTCACAAGAGTCACTCGTTTAACATTCACAGGAGTCGCTAGTTTAACATTCACAAGAGTCACTCGTTTAACATTCACAGGAGTCGCTAGTTTAACAGTCACAGGAGTCGCTAGTTTAACATTCACAAGAGTCACTAGTTTAACATTCACAGGAGTCCCTAGTTTAACATTCTCAGGAGTCGCTAGTTTAACATTCACAGGAGTCGCTAGTTTAACATACACAAGAGTCACTAGTTTAACATTCACAGGAGTCCTTAGTTTAACATTCACAGGAGTCACTAGTTTAACAGTCACAGGTGCACTAGTTTAACATTCACAGGAGTCGCTAGTTTAACATTCTCAGGAGTCACTAGTTTAACAGTCACAGGAGTCGCTAGTTTAACATTCACAAGAGTCACTAGTTTAACATTCACAGGAGTCGCTAGTTTAACAGTCACAGGAGTCGCTAGTTTAACATTCACAGGAATCACTAGTTTAACATTCACAGGTGTCACTAGGTTAACATTCACAGGAGTCGCTAGTTTAACATACACAAGAGTCACTAGTTTAACATTCACAGGAGTCGCTAGTTTAACATTCACAGGAGACGCTAGGTTAACATTCACAGGAGTCACTTAGTTTAAAATTCACAGGTGTCACTAGTTTAACATTCACAGAAGTAGCTAGTTTAACATTAACAGGAGTCGCTAGTTTAACATTCACATGAGTCACTTAGTTTAACATTCACAGGTGTCACTAGTTTAACATTCACAGGAGTCACTAGTTTAACATTCACATGAGTCGCTAGTTTAACATTCACAGGAGTCGCTAGTTTAACAGTCACAGGAGTCGCTAGTTTAACATTCACAAGAGTCACTAGTTTAACATTCACAGGAGTCACTTAGTTTAAAATTCACAGGTGTCACTAGTTTAACATTCACAGAACTCGCTAGTTTAACATTAACAGGAGTCGCTAGTTTAACATTCACATGAGTCACTTAGTTTAACATTCACAGGTGTCACTAGTTTAACATTCACAGAAGTCGCTAGTTTAACATTATCAGGAGTCGCTAGTTTAACATTCACAGGAATCACTAGTTTAACATTCACAGGTGTCACTAGGTTAACATTCACAGGAGTCGCTAGTTTAACATTCACAGAAGTCGCTAGTTTAACATTAACAGGAGTCGCTAGTTTAACATTCACAGGAGTCATTGTGCAGCATGTTAAGTCTATCAAAAGGAAAACTACTTAACATTGAAGCAATTAAATCAAATAATACAAAAAAAACAAAGGTAAGCTAGTGACAAATGCCCCTGAGAAACGGGGTAGCATCAGGCTAGGTTACGACAGATAGCTAACTCCACACTAGAGTGTTTGTACCTGTTTGCGGCTCTGTTGCAGAATATCCTGCTGTCGCTGCTGGGCCGCAGAAACCTCAAGGATGTGTCGCTGGAGGGGCTGACGGTTGATGGGCGAGATGCTGGCCTGGTGTGTGATCTGTGACCGCACCAGGTCGTCTATGTTAGATTCTGTTAGAACACAACCACAGATTATTACTAATGTGTAGAAATAAAAGTGTAAACAATGGCAGTTACAAAACCTTGGCCTTTTATAAACCATTCTTTTACATAAACATGTAATTAATTCAATGGCATAATTTATATATCTATACATAATCACACAGGATAATACATATATCATGCCTTGATTCATCTTACCAATTTCTCTGTAGGCTAATAGAAAGACTGGAAAATAACATTGACTAAAGTGATTTATTCATTCCACTTATGTATCATGTCACACAGCTTTGGTTTATTCAACCTCACATTCGCTCAGGAACAAAGAGAAGAAATTAAGACAATAAAGAAACAGAGGCAGAGATTTTCCAGTTAAACAGTAATAATAGAACAGTATTGAATACTATGCATGAAATATGTTGTATTCAGATTTCTATGATGAAATACAGAACTAATTTTTAAGAAAAGGTCAGAGTAAATTATTCTTATGCTTAGGATTCACTTTGACATTGAGCTGTTCTAGGATTACTTTGACCTTGAGATGTTCTAGGATTCACTTTGACCTTGAGATGTTCTAGGATTCACTTTGACCTTGAACTATTCTAGGATTCACTTTGATCTTGAGCTGTTCTAGGATACACTTTGACTTCGAGCTGTTCTAGGATTCAATTTGACCTTGAGCTGTTCTTGGATTCACTTTGACCTTGAGCTGTCCTAGGATTCACTTTGACCTTGAGCTGTTCTAGGATTTACTTTGACCCAGACAGGGATGTAGATTAGACAGGGGCTGGTTTAGACAGGTTATACTTTAAAGTAGGTCAAGGTCATTTATGAAACCAAAGCCAATTTGTGATCTTGAAAGTGGGTCAGTCATTTATTGCAACAAAATTAATAACCATCTGGATAACAAGCTGCATGACAAAAAAAATCATTCTCAGCTCAAAATTAATAGAAGAAATTATTAATTAAAAAAGAAAAAGAAAAAAAAAGACATTGAATGTACATTGATCAAGGCCATGCACCTAATAGTCCAAAAAATCATTACTCTTTCAACCTTTATGGATCTCGTGAAGAAGCTGTTGTCTTATGTTATCCCTATGATACACATGGCAATGCACAAAGACAAGAGGCAATAAGTCGTAGGAGCCTTTCACTCAGATGACCTAAAACTACAAGTTGATTTAATTTTATAGCAAAACAAAATGTGGACCTACACAACAGAGCTAGCACAGGTACCTCCACACCAAATGTCTATAAGCTAACTAGGTTAAAGAGAACGTTCACTCCCCCACAGGTAATCTAACAATTGTGCTTCAAGGAACAGTTTACACTGATGAAAAGTTCATGCGGGAAAATTGCTTAGGATGTTAAAACTTGGTGAGTGCAAAATATATTCCTAAACAAGAGGCCCGGGAGCCTGTAGTCACCTGAATGGTATGTGCATATGGTTTAGCCCTACCATCACATGAATACATAGTAGACGAGGAATGATTCAGGGATTATTTAAAGGTGACGGATGATAACGACACATGGCGATAGCTAAAAGGCAATGTCAATAGGTCACAAAAGTGACAAAAGTGACCTAAGAAGCACCGAAGTATATTTCAATATCCTATATAAAGAGGAGCACCAAACTATATTTCAATGTCCTATATAAAGTGCATTCTGGTTAAGAACTTTGTATTTGAAATACCATCCTTTCTACAACAACTGTAGTCTATGTCTTCAAACTATCATTGACCTAAAAATCAACAATTAAATCTGTTTGAAATGATTGTTGACCTCCTTTTTGTTCTTTCGATAGAAATGTGATTGATTAGCCTTGATATATCTCTATCCAGTATATATTTCATATTTTATGTGCTTTTATTTTACATGGTCAGGAGTTATCTCCCATGTTTTACAATGATCTGAGTGACCTTGTGTATTAAAGAGGTGGTGTTGAGTGTAGAAAGGGTGGTGTTTAGCTGTTAGATACTACAGACATTTAGAGCCTGATACTATAAGGTGCACGCCCCGTATACCCATAGTGTATTATATAGAGGTGGCAATCTTACGACGTCCTCGTGTACGCTGCATGTGTTCCTTCCACACCTTAACCAAAGTACTTCCTACAACTAAACATTCATAACAACAGTCATACACAACATACAAGTACAGACGATATAAACACATAATAAACTACAACTGTAGCTACAGGCTACCTAAAACACCCCACCATCACATAAAATAAACTAAAACAACCCATTATCACATAGAATAATCATAAATGGAATACAACTTCAAAAGACTAGTTAATATATGGAATATATTGCAGTTGCATACAAATTTAAGGTACTTATCCTGTGTACCAAGTTTCAAAATATTGGCAAAAAAATGAAGTAGAAGTACTTTGGTCAAAATATTTAAATATACACCAGAAAAGGGGCATAACTCCGCAAATTTCAAAATGCAGTAGGGTTATCTGCTAAATATATCTTTAAGTTGTGCAGCTCTGATTGGCTAAAACCCAATTCCCTGGTTGCTGATCTTTTTCAGAAACAAGAGGACAATTGCCATGTACCTCCCTAAAAATGTGCTTACAATGTAGAGTGTATCTATACCCCCTCAGGAATACTACCTGGGAGATAAAAAAAAAAAAAAAAAAAAAACCCAGAAAATCTTAGTACATATAATGTTGCTTTCAGCCTGGTAATATGAAACAGAGTAATGCTGAATACAGAAAACTGTACAATTGTTTTAAAACAAAATCAAACAATCTATCAAACTTTATTTCAAGACTTGTTTTCACCCTCAGGGTAGATCCAGTTATCATGATTATATTCCTAATGACTTGTCAAAACAAAAGGGGTCATTAGGGCCAAGCTATAACCAAAGCCTATAATACAAAGTTATTGCTATATACTACCTACTATAAAGTTTGGACAAAATCAGTTCAGAAATAAAGTCGCAAAGTTCATCACACTTGATTGGGATGTGACAGACAAGGGTAACAGTACATGACCCAATACAATGGCAGGAGCATAAAAACTGTGAAACAACAAACCAAGGTTAGGACAAAGGATAAAGTCTACATGTGAAGTAGTGTGAGGAAGCTACATATACATATCACGCGTGAGGCCCCTTAAAGGTTCCCGATAACACAGAAAAAGGTGAGAGGCCCCTATATATAGGGTAACCAACAGTGTGAAACAGTGAAGGCTTCAATTTCCTGAGGGTACATCTAGGTTACTCCTTCAGACATCCCCGTGTGCATCTCTAGGGGATACCTATTAGGTCACCTGGATGGTACCCTGAGATTTTCCCTGGATTTTTTCCTGGGAGATTCCAAGTTACTCCGGGGGTAAGGAGAACACACAGGTTGTGGGTGGGTGAGAGAGCTATACACACAGCTAAATATACCTTCTGGCATTCCCAACAACTTAGATAGGATATCATCACTACATTTTTCGTGGAAGGGTTTGATGGATTTATGGTGACCTCTGACCCCTTGCTGTAGTGGTTCTGTATCTGATGTAATATGATAAAACAGCATCAGTATCTATATTACATATATATAGGATCTTACACGAGTTTCCATTTCATTGCAGATTTTTAAGTTTAAGATTTTTTCAATTTAGTGAGCCTGGGGCGGGCTAAAACGAAAAATTCATGATGAGTTTCATAAATTTCATATGAAATGAAAACAATTGTAAGATCATTTTTATCAAATAATCAAGATTTGTGGCATTTATTCGTGTAAAACGACAATCTTCAGGCAACCTTAAAATGTAACAAGAGGCCCATGGGCCTAAACGGTCACCTGAGTCTACAGTATTTATTTTTGTTGTTGAAATATGTACCAATTTGAGTAAAAAATAGAATAATGTTAACTTAACTTTGTCAGGACCATCAGCTGATCATTCCTAGACCAATTTTAAGTGAGATCGGCCTATTAGAACTTAGTAGCAAAATAGCGGCCATGGCAGCCAAATTGTATTTCTGATTGACCCGAAAAATAACAACACTTTGTCAGGACCATGATTCAATCATTCCTACAAAGTTTCAGTTCAATCGGCC